CTGAATGCACATTTTTCTAAAGAAGACATATAGATTGCCAACAGGTTCATGAAAAGATGCTCAACATAATTAATCAGTAGGGAAGTGCAAATCAAAACCACCATGAGTTACCACCTCATACCTGTTAGAATGGCTATATCAAAAAGACAAGAAATAGTAAGTGTTGGTGAGGATGTGGAGGAAAGGGGAACCCTGGTGCCCCACTGGTGGAAATGTCAATTGGTGCAGCTACTATGGAGAACAGTACGAGGTTCCTCACAAAGTTAAAAACAGAACTACCATTTGAGCCAGCAATTCCACATCTGGGTATTTATCCAAAGAAAATGAAAACACTGACTTAAAAATATACATGCACCCCCATGTTCACTGCAGCACTATTTATAATAGCCAAGATGTGGAAACAACCTTTGTGCTCATCATGGATGAATGGATAAAGAAACTGTGATGAGATATATATATATATATATATATATATGTATATCACACACATACTATATGTATATATATGTAGTGGAATATTATTCATCCATAAAAGAATGAAATCTTGCCATTTGTGACAACATGGATGGATCTTGAGGGCATTATGCTAAGTGAAATAAGTCAGAGAAAGGCAAATACTGTATCCCACGTATATGAGGAAGTATAACAAACACACATGAAGCTCACAGATACAGAGAATAGACTGGTAGTTGCTAAGGGTGGGCGGGAGCGGGGTGGCGCTGTGAAACAGGTGAAGGGGGTCCCAAAGGTACAAATTTCTAGTTATAAAATAAATCAGTCATGGGGATGTAATGTACAGCACCGCGACTTCAGTTTAAAATACTGTATGGTGTACCTGAAAGTTGCTAAGACAGATCTTAAGCTCTCATCACACACACACACACAAATTGAAAGAAAAAAAAAAACCTGAACTTGTTGGATTTGAACTGACAAGCCAGAAGCCAGTGTTCAGGGGACTCAGAGAGGAGACAGAATTGAAGAGGCTGCCCTCAGGTTCCGCCCAGAGGGTAAAGGAGGGCTATAACGAACAGGGAGTGCTTTGTAAACTGGTGAGTGTGTGCACAGGAGAACAGCGTGTAAAGTGCTGGGCTCTTCTCTACTCAGGGCAATGGGGACTGCACCACACCTGGGGCTACAGGGAGAAGCAGGGAGTTCCAGAGGATACTAAAGCAGCTGAGGAGGAATAACAGTGTCAGGACACCTCTTAAGAGATCTCCAAGCCCCGAGGCACACTCATTCTCAACGGCATCACCTGAGATCCTAGAAAAAGTCACTGATGCTTTTTTTTTTCAGGCTCAGTCACCACTGACTCTAGGCCCTAATTCTGGGGGAGGGGAATACATAAAATTAGTCTCATTTCTCTCAGTTGTGAAGGTCCTTCAGCTGTTGATCCGAAGCACTAACAAAAGCTGTTATTTATTGAGCCCTTAAAGGACTGAAAATAAAGGCACAATGCTGAATAACAAAAGTAGGTAGCATTTATTGAGTGCTTCCTGGGTGTCAGGCACTGTTCTAAGTGCTATGGATGGGGTTCAGGGCAGGCTGCCCCCCAATATGCCACTGTGGCATATTGATTATCTGGAATTATAGTCACTTGAGAAACATTCACCGCAAGAACACTTTGACCCTACTTTGTTCCCCTGAAGGCAGGAAATAAATCTCCCATATGAAAGGATCCTCAAATACCAGGAGAACGGACGGCATCTTTATCGCCAGAGATAGATGAGTCAAGGCTAAGAACGCTTTACAAACACACTTTGTTACTTCATGAACTTGCTACCCTAAGTCCAAGCCCCTTTGTTTTCTAACAAATAATTGTTTCCTTGTCTGAAAGACATAAAAGGTGCCTGATTTGGCCACTTTCTTGGGTGCCATGTTATTATGGGACTCCTGCACATTCCTGATTAAATGTGGTTTTCCCTCCTGTTAACCTGTCTTGTGTCAATTTTCTTATTAGATCAGCCAAAAGAACCTAGAAGGGTGGAGGAAAAACTTTTCCTCCCCAACACTATGTAAGGTACACAGCAAGGCACGGAGCGATGATGGCGGGAGTGCTGGGATAAACCAGAACAACGGAGAGCTTTTAAGCACAGGTTTTGAAGTTACCGAAGACAAGGGTTTGAAACCTGGTTCCACACATTACCTATGTTTCTCTGAGACTGGGCGCCCTGCCAGGATCCTAGCGTGGCTAAGATGTTCATTCTGACAAAGTGTGTAGAGAGCTCAAGCCAGCGCCAGGCACGGAGCAGCTCCCCAATTAACGCGTGATGATAATCGTGAAGATGACAATCACGTGTGCAGGTTGCGGCCACGGTGTGAGCAAAACCGCTAATAATCAACATTAACATAATATTAATACCAAACACTGGTACTGCGCTTACCACACGCCAGACACTGTTGGGGATGGTAAACCACTGATTAATTCACTGAATCCTCAAAACAAGCCTATGTAGGTACTATTTCCACATCCATCTCACAAATGAGAAAACTGAGGCACAAAGATTACATACCTTGCCCGAGGTCACGCAGCTACAACTGCAATGAGGAATGACAAACTTTACTGAGCGCTTACTATGCTCCAGTCTGTAATGAGCTCTTTACCTCCGTTAAATCCTACCATAACCCTTAAAGGGTTTGCAGTTATTCCCACTTTACAGATGGGGAGACTGGGGCTTGGGGAGGTTCCCACGGGCGTGAAGATTCGGACCCAGGACCGAGCCCGTACTCACCTGGCTTCCTGGATGCAACGAAGCACGACTCCGCCATCCACCTCGGTCTGGGCTCCCGGGTCCCGGGCGGCAGCCGCAGCCGCCGCAGCAGCAGCCCGCCGCCGCCGCCACCGCCTCCCTACGCCGCGGACGCAGAGCCGCCGAGCGCCTTCTCCGACGAGACGCCGCCTGCCAGGCTTCCAGCGCCGCCGCCGCCGCCATTGGTCTCTGACGTCATCGGCGCGCGCCAGCTCTGCGGGAACTTTAGGGGGCGGTAAGCGCAGGTGGCGCGTGACCCTGGGGCCTCTCCGCCGCGCGCGTAGGTATCGGGCGGGAGTCGCTGGGACCTCCGGATCCCGAGTCCCGAGCCTCGAGCCTCGATCCCGGATCCCCGGGCTGCCTGGCTACTCCGGCGGGTGGGCGGCGCCCGGAGACGCGGGGACACCAAAGGGCGGGACCCCGGCCGAGAGCGCCTTTTGGCGGGCCCTCCGCGCAGTGACCCGGCCCCGATTGATCCCCGCACCTTTGCCCACCAGTCCCAGCCACCTGGAGCTGAGGCCAGACACTTCCCACTGCTGCCGGCGGTTACCGATCGCTTCCTGGCCCATCGCAATCATTAGCGCCCCTTTTCCTGCTCTGCTGACACACTGACGCCACTTCCTACACCATCACCACCACCCACAGGCCTTTGCCGGCCACGTCTCGACTCCCCCGATCGTTACTGCCACTTCCCAGGCCAGAGCCTTCTCTGGCCACATCCCAACACCTGCCCTGTTCCCGACGGACCATTAGCGGCTTCTTCTGGACCTTTCAGAGATAAGCGAGTGGACCTTGGCAGTGTAGGGCCCAGTCCTATGGGAACAAGGGATGGGGGTTTCAGATTGCAGTCCTTGGTTCCGCGGGCTTAGATGCCGCCTCCACAAGGCACCCGAATATGAGTATGACCCTAGGGAGGCCCACCCCAAGATATCCAGAGCTGAGAAAAGACAGAGGTTTTACAGGCCATCAAAGATTCGGTGGTGTCCTCTCTAGGGACTTCCCTATAGCAGAGGAGCTTAAAAAAACTCTCTTGTGTTCCCAGGAGGATGGCAGACGGTGAGCAAGCTTTTGAAACCATGTCGCTGGGGACATTAAGCTTGGAGAAAGTGACAGTAGGGATACAGTTTTGAAGTGACCAAAGGGTTGACTTGTGGAAGGATGAGACCTTGTTTTGTTTTCCTGGAGAGTGTGTGGAGGTTACTGCGAGGCCAATTTCAGCTTGGTGGAAGGATAAATTGAACACTGAGAACTGCCTATCTCTGGAGGGAGTAAGCAAGAGCCAGTTAAGGTAGTTTCTGAAGGAGAGTAAGGATTTGAGTGTGTGATGCCAGCGTCCCTTCTGAGCCTGAAATTTCTTGATACTCTGAGTTCTCTTTCCTCTTGTGGGAGTTTGAAAACCACTTGTTAAATTCTCTTGACTTTTGGAAACTTGCCCAGCTCTGGGATTCTACATGTTTAGATTAATTTGGGGCTGTCAAGGTGACAGTTCCTTAATTTGAGTTCCATTATTACTACACCAACCGCCTTATTTGTATAGCTGTCCTTGACACCCAGAGCTTTTTCACACCGGTTATTTAATTCTATCTTCTGTGTGATATATGTCTTCACGTTAACTATGGGACTTACTCTGAAGTTTTGCTCCCCTCTTTTGGATTCTGAAACACACTTTTCAGCTTTCTGGAAAACTCTTTTGAAGCATACCATTTGCTTAACCCTGCTGGGTCACATGCTCACTCATGGGATTCTGAAATAATCTATTCCTTGTGTTTATTTTAGGGTCAAGGGACTGATGTTTGAACGGAAAGCTTCAAAACTTTTTAAAGAAACCTTCAGAATGGCTTTGAACCCGACAAGCTAGACATCGCTTCAGAGCACCGCCTTCAGCATGCATCTGCCGTCAGGCTTCCCTGGCAAAGCGGTCGTTCTTTGAAGGGGTCGTTCTGCAGAGGGCCAGGGAAACGATGCTCACGGAACCAGATTGGTGGATTTGACTTTCTGGTAGAATTCTCTTGCTTTATTGATTTTTTCCCAGAGCTCTGAGAGGCTGGAGGTATTGATGGGACCGAAGGGCCTGGAAGGAAGGGAAGAAGCACTTTCATGCTGAATGAATACTAGACAAGTGACTGTTGGAGACTGAAAACACCTAAACGTCCCACATCCGGATTCAGCGGAGGAGCTGTCACTGCTGGGGAGAAAGAAGCCAGACTGGAAAAGAAAACCCAGATAAAGAGAATGAGGGCCACCGAAGACTAAATGGCCACCTCCACCTCGACAGAGACCAAGTCAGCCTCCTGGTGAGTAGCAGGGCCTGCAGGGGGTTAGTTCCTGCAGGCTGCTGCACGGATGTTTTGGGTGAACTGAGAATCCCCAGCCAGACTGTCTTGATTTTATTAAGAAAAAAGAAAAAATACCATTTTCCTCAGAGCAGCGAATCAAGGGCCATTTCTCTCCAAAGCTGATGTACTGTAACCACACGAGCCTCTTGCAGGGTTTGACGAGTCCAGCATTGCTGGTAGAAGGTAGAAAAGAGAGCCACGGCTGGATCCCGCAGCCGGCCTTGATAATACCGTGGGCACTGAAGTCTTCACTTTTGAGAGACAAGAAGCTGTGGCGGTGCAGAATTACACCACGAGAAGAGGTTTGGCCAGACTGGCTCTTCAAGGGTATTACACAATGTCTGCCTGAAACTCAGTTCCCTTCTCAACCGCAAATGGGTTAAGCCTGTCTTAATTTGGTTCAGCAAACATTTATGAAGGAGAGGAAAGTGAGAGGCATGGTTTCAACAGAATGAGCAGGATTTATGACTGATTATATGTGTGCAGTTCAAAACAACACTCGGGTTTTCTTTTGTGTGCCTGTAAGAGTGGGGTCACTTTCACCCAGGGAACATAAGGAAACGGTAGAATGGGGCCCAGCAGTGGGGTTTCATTCATTCATTCAATTATTCATCTAGCTAGCTAGCTTCCAGTTTTAGTGACATATAGTTGACATACAGCACTGTAACACACATAATCATGAAAAGATCACCACAAGTTTAGTGAACGTCTATCATCTCATATAGATATAAAATAAAAGGAAAAAAATTTTTTTCCTTGTAATGAGAACTCAGGATTTACTCTTAAAAACTTTCATATATAACATACAGAAGTGTTAATTACATTTATCATGTTGTACATTACATCCCTAGTACTTATTTATTTTGTAACTGGAAGATTGTACCTTTTGACTACCTTTTTTTTTTTTTTTTTTTTTTTGCGGGGCGCGGGTCTCTCACTGCTGTGGCCTCTCCCGTTGCGGAGCACAGGCTCCGGACGCGCAGGCCCAGCGGCCATGGCTCACGGGCCCAGCCGCTCCGCGGCATGTGGGATCTTCCCGGACCGGGGCACAAACCCGTGTCCCCTGCATCGGCAGGCGGACTCCCAACCACTGCGCCACCAGGGAAGCCCTGACTACCTTTATCCAGTCCCCCTTCCCCCACCTCCTGCCTCTGATGACTACAAATCTGAACTCTTTTTCTATGAGTTTGTTTCAAGTATAATTGACCTGTAACACTGTGCCCAACATAGTGATTTGTTATTTCTATACATTACAGTATGCTCACCACCTGGCAGTGGGGTTTCCGAGCTGGGTTTGAAACATTTTTTGAGCCTCTTTGATCTGTCCGTGCCCTGCAGCCAGCTGCACGTTGGGACCTAGAACTCGGGAAAGCGGATTGTGCTAGAAACAGAGTTAGTGCTTGTCATCAGGAAGATAAGGTGGGAGCCGGGGAGGGCGTAGATCGGGGGACAGAGTAGTCACTGCTCTGGCCTGATGGGTGTGCTTTCGGAGACTGAGAGGTTAAAACCCAGGTCCAGCCTGGGTAGCCTGCTTTGCGGTCTTAAATAAGTAATTGTAGTTACGCCAGAGAGGAGACCCCGAGGCTTTAGGGAGGAGCAGAGGGTTATGGGTATTGAGGAGAGAGCTTCCTCTGCAGGGAGGGAATCAGAAGCTTGATGAGGGATTGTGTTAAAGGAGGGGTGTGGTGCCTCTCTGAGCTCTCAGATGTCCCCGCTTTTCCCGTTATAGACTCGCTGCCCTGCGGGCAAACTGCATGTTTCCTGTTTCCCTTTCCTCGCGATGGGCCCCGAGGCTGGCAAACGCAGCGCACACCGCACCCCCTCAGCAAATGTGTGTTAAAGGAATTCCTGGTAGGAGGGAAATTTCCAGAGACCTGGTGCCCAGCAGTTATGAAGACAACTAAGACATCCCTAACTTACTTCATTATCAGAGCCTTAAAAGACAGTTGACCAAACCACGTGGTTATAGAGTTAAGGTTCAGTGTCTCAAACAAGAGGCATCATTGTGGGTGCCCTGTCTTTCCTTAGCTGCTCTTCTGTCTTTTGGGGCAGATGGTCGGACGGCTGGATAGAGACGTATTTTTAGTTTGACTTGGCTGCACTTATGAAATGGTTTTATCTCTTTGTAGCTCTTGGGTCCCTTCTCCTCTGGGGCCACCAGAGGGCTTTTCAAATGCCGAATCATGCGCCCCTCTCCGGCTGGGCAAAAGGAAGCTGTGTTTTACAAGGCCCTGCTCACCGGATGGAAGGAAACACAGCTCCCTTCTGTTCTCTTGACAGGTGGAATTATTTTTTCCTTTATGATGGTTCCAAGGTGAAGGGAGAAGGAGATCCAACCAGAGCTGGCATCTGTTACTTTTTTCCCCCTCAGGTAAGCCACGCAGCATTTTCTTGTTTGGTGGGGATCCCACTGCCTCAAAGTGGTGACTTTTCCAAAGGTCTGGGGAGGGTTACACGTGGACAGTTTTCTCTGCGTAGTCCAGGCATTCCCCACTTCTACTCTCTTATTCTTAGTTGTATTATTTGTCGTTGTTCTGGTGTTGAAGTGCCCAGGCAGCCCAGTACTTCCGCCTTCTCTAGCCCTCTGTTACCGTCATGATTTTCTGTCTGCCCCGCTGGATTAAAAACTTTTCTCCAAACATATACCAAAGTAAAGAGGAGAGAATCATCGGCCCTCACGTGCCCATCATCAGCTTCAACAATAATCAACACTTGACCAATGTGATATGAGCTATCCTAACTCCTCCCCACTCTTTTTCTCCTGGAGTATTTTTTTTTTTTTAATAAATGTATTTATTTATTTTTGGCTGCGTTGGGTCTTCGTTGCTGCGCGTGGGTTTTCTCTAGCTGCGGCGAGCGGGGGCCACTCTTCTTTGCGTTGCACGGGCTGCTCATTGCAGCGGCTTATCTTGTTGCGGAGCACGGGCTCTAGGCGCGGGGGCTTCAGTAGCTGTGGCAGGCTGGCTCAGTAGTTGTGGCTCGCGGGCTTTAGAGCACAGGCTCAGTAGTTGCGGCGCACGGGTTTAGCTGCTCCGCAGCGTGTGAGATCTTCCTAAACCACGGCTCAAACCCGTGTCCCCTGCATTGGCAGGCGGATTCTTAAGCACTGCGCCACCAGGGAAGTCCATTCCTGAAGTATTTTGAAGCAAATCCTAGACATGGTGTCATCTCACCGGTATCAAGTAACATCTCTAACTGAAAAGGGTGTATTTTGTTAACATCCCACTCAGCAAAAGTTACAATAATTAGTAACAATAATATCATCTGATACAGTCTATATTCAAATTTTGCCTTTATTATCTTAGATGTTACTTAGTCCTTCCTTCCTTCCGCCTGCCTCTCTCTCCCTCCCTCCCTCCCTCCCTCTCCTAATCAGCATCCAAGCAAGGTCCACATACCCCATTTGGTTATTTTGTGTTTCAAGTCCCTTTTATCATATAACACTCCTCACCCCTCCCCCCATCCTTTTTTCCCGCGTGTCACTGAATTATTGAAGAAACCAGGTCTCTTATGCAGAATGTCAGCACGTCCCCCACTCTGGATTGGGCTGATTACTTTCCTCACGATGGAATCATTTAATGCTTTCTACCCAGTGCATTTCCTTTAAACTAGTAGGAAGATCTAGAGCCTTGATTAGGTTCAAGTTCAGCTCTTTTAGTCAAGAGTTCTCCGTTTTCCGTTGCATCACATGATGTCTGCCTGCCCCACAGTTTAGTTAACGTGAAGATTGATTAGGAGGCCTGCGTACTCACTCGTGTGATCACACTTGACTTGGAGAGTGGGGATTAGTCTAGGCTGCTCTGGCCACTCTGCAGGGGATTTGAATGGGGATAAAGGCTCACGCTTCTACCCATGCACAGGCCTGTAATCCTAGGAACAAAAACGTAGTTCTGGGCAATCATCTTATGCATTCACTGTGGGTGTTTTGTGACAATTCAGGCAGGGTTCAGCAAATTTTGTCTCAAAAGGGCCAATGTGGGAATGTTTTGGTCTCTGCAAGCTGTGTAAGGTCTCTATCATGTGTTCTTCTTTGTTGTTATCTTGACAACCCTTAAAAAAATGTAAAAACCATCATTAGCTCCCGGATTATATAAAAACAGGCAGCAGAGTCGATCCGGCCTCCAGGCTGTATAGTTAGCCAACCCCTGCTCTAAGGAATGACACGGGAGTTCGGGAACTTCAACTTAATGTCTGGAATTGGCTCTTTTCCCTAGACCCTGCTTGACCAACAGGAGCTGCTCTGTGGACAGATCGCCGGGGTTGCCCACTGCATTTCTGACACTGCCGGCTCTCCTCCCACCATCGTCCGTCTGCGGAAACTTAAGTTCGCCGTAAAGGTTGACGGCGATTACCTTTGGGTAAGTTTACCAGGCTGACCCAGTGCCTGCAGGGTGGCCTCTACCAAGAGTCTTTTGTCTCTGTGAGAAGTATTGCGATGCTAGGGTTTAGAAATAATGCCTGCCATGGATCTTGAGCCTAGAACCTCCTCCTCTCCCCGTGTGTGCTGCCCCCCACCCCGTCATCTGCGATTCTCGTGTCACTTTCTGCAGGTGCCCATCAGAACTGAGTGCTCTCTCCAAAACACTGCTAACACATCCTGCATGGCACGCGCCTGCTTTCTCCTCTCTTTTGGTCATCCTCTGGAAATTCTCTTTGCTCTGTGATGCAAATTGAGTTTTTAATCTCCATCTTTTCTTGTTTCTACTCTCTATACTCTCCACGCTTACTGGGGAAGGGAGCCAGAAACTCGAAGACACTGGTGCATATATGTTAGGTTTCAAAGAACCATTAAGAAAAAAAAAGAACAATTTACAGCTAGTAGTGCCATAGACTCGAAAGTACTGTTGTCTCGTGCCTCCTCTTATTTTAAATTTATTCCTGAGGGGATGGGATGCTTAAGTGTAAGGAAGTATATTCACCTTCGTAGGTATTATTTCCAACATTTTGTTATGAAAATTTTCTAACATACTGAACACTTGAGAGAATTTTACAGTGAATACTCACATACCTCCCAGACTCTACAGAACACTTCATTATAGTTGCTTTGTCACACATTTATATATTCACACATCCCTTTATCCTCTGTTTTAACACTTGTGGGATTCATCCACACTGTTGCATGTACCGGCGGCTCATTCCTATTTATTGCTGAGCAGTGTTCCATAGTCTGAATGTATCACAGTCACTTATTCATTCTCCTTTTTGTGGACACATGAACTGTGTCCAGTTTGGGGCACTTGAGAATAAGGCTCTAGAGGGACTTCCCTGGTTGTCCAGCAGTTAAGACTCCCTGCTCCCAAAGCAGGGGGTCCGGGGTCAATCCCTGGTCAAGGAACTAGATCCCACACGCCACAGCAAAGATCCCGCACGCCGCAACTAAGACCTGGCGCAGCCAAATAAATAAATAAATATTTTTTTTTAAAAAAAGAATTAGGCGCTAGGGAAATACAAGTCAAAACTACAGTGAGGTGCTAACCTCACACCAGTGAGAATGGCCATCAGCAAAAAGTCTACCAATAATGGGACTTTTTTGGTGGCACAGTGGTTAAGAATCCGCCTGCCAATGCAGGGGACACGGGTTCGAGCCCTGGTCGGGGAAGATCCCACACGCCACGGAGCAACTAAGCCTGTGCACCACAACTACTGAGCCTGCGCTCTAGAGCCCTTGAGCCACAGCTACTGAGCCCGTGTGCCACAACTACTGAAGCCTGTGCTCTAGAGTCCTTGAGCCACAGCTACTGAGCCCACGAGCCACAACTACTGAAGCCTGTGCGCCTAGAGACCATGCTCCGCAACAAGAGAAGCCACCGCAATGAGGAGCCCATGCACTGCAAGGAAGAGTAGCCCCTGCTCGCCGCAACTAGAGAAAGCCCACACGCAGCAACGAAGACCCAACGCAGCCAAAAAAATAAATTAATCAATTAATTTTTTAAGAAAAGTCTACCAATAATAAGTGCTGGAGAGGGTGTGGAGAAAAGGGAACCCTCCTACATTGTTGGTGGGAATGTAAGTTGGTGCAGCCACTATGGAGAACAGTATGGAGGTTCCTTAAAAAACTAAAAATAGAATTATCATATGACCCAGCAATCCCACTCCTGGGCATATATCTGGACAAAACTCTAATTCAAAACGATACACGCACCCCTGTGTTCATAGCAGCACTATTTACAATAACCAAGACGTGGAAACAACCTGTATGCCCATCGACAGATGAATGGATAAAGAAGGTGTGGTACATACGTACAATGGAATACTAGTCAGCCATAAAAGAATGAAATAATGCCATCTGCAGCAACATGGATCGAACTAGAGATTATCATACTAAGTTAAGTAAGTCAGAAAGTGAAGTAAGTCAGAAAGAGAAAGACAAATAGCATATGATGTCACTTATATGTGGAATCTAAAATATGACACAAATGAACAGAAACAGACTCACAGAAACAGAAACAGACTCACAGACATAGAGAACGGACTTTTAGATGCCGAGGGGGATAGAGGAAGGGAAGGATTGAGAGTTTGGGATTAACAGATGCAAACTATTATACGGAGAATGGATAAACAACAAGGTCCTACTGTATAGCACAGGGAACTATATTCAATATCCTATGACAAACCATAATGGAAAAGAATCTGAAAAAGAATGTATATATATGTATAACTGAATCACTTTGCTGCACAGCAGAAATTAATACAACATTGTAAATCAAGAAAATAAAATTTAAAAAAGGAATAAGGCTCTAGAAACATTCCTATACAAGTCTTTTTGTGGACATATGTTTTCATTTCTCATAGGTAAATATCGAGGCGTGGAATTGCTGGGTCACAGGGTAGGTGTGTGTTGATTTTACAAGAAACTGCCAGACTCTTGCCCAGAGTGGTTGTACCATTTTACATTCCCACCAACAGTGTGTGAGAATTCCAGATACTGCCACATCTTCATCAGCAGTAATGTGGTCAGTTCGTTTAATTTTAGCCATTTTGCTGGATGTGAAGTGGTATCTCATTGTGGTTTCGATTTGCATTTCCCCAATGACTAGTGATATTAAGGCTTTTTCGTGTGCTTCATGGCCATTTGTATATCTTCCTTCGCAAAGTATTTGTCCAAAGCTCTTGCCCATTTTTTAAACTGGGTTTTCTTTTTTTCTTGAGTTGTAGGTTTCTTCATACATCCTGGATACCAGTTCTTTGTCAGATATACATTTTAAAAATATCTTCTCCCAGTTTGTGGTGTGCCTACTTTCTTAATAATGTCTTTTGATGGGAAGTTTTTAGTTTAGTTTTTTTTTTTTTTAATAAATTTATTTTATTTATTTTTGGCTGCGTTGGGTCTTCGTCACTGCACGCGGGCTTTCTCTAGTTGCGGTGAGTGGGGGGCTACTCTTCGTTGCGGTGCGCGGGCTTCTCACTGCGGTGGCTTCTCTTGTTGTGGAGCGTGGGCTCCAGGTGGGCGGGCTTCAGTAGTTGTGGCACGTGGGCTCAGTAGTTGTGGCTCGTGGGCTCTAGAGCTCAGGCTCAGTAGTTGTGGCGCACGGGCTTAGTTGCTCTGCGGCATGTGGGATCTTCCCGGACCAGGGCTCAAACCCATGTCCCCTGCATTGGCACGCGGATTCTTAACCACCGCACCGCCAGGGGAGCCCTAGTTTTAAGGAAGTCTAATTTATCAGTGTTATCTTTCATGGTTATTGCTTTCTGTATTCTGTCTAAAACCATTGCCTACCCCATTGGAGAAGACATTCTCCAATTTTTGGTTTTGTAAGTTTCACAGTTTTAACTTTTAAATTTAGGTCTGTAATCCACCTTGGATATATCTTTGTGTATGGTGCGAAGCAGAGGTCAAGGGTCCTTTTCTCCATATGGGTGTCCAGTTAATGCAGCACCATTGTTGAAAACTTTCCTTTTCCTGTTAGATTCCTGTGGCTCCTTTGTTGAAGATCAAACGACCGTTTAAGTGTGGCTCTACTTCTGGGCTCACTATTCTTTCCCATTGATCTTTCTGAAGAGTCTATACAGGTACTACTCTGTCTTGATGTCTGTAGCTTTATAATAAGTCTTAAAATCAGATGGTGGAAGTCCTCCAAACCTACTCTTCTCCAAGGCAGCTTTGGATGTTTTAGGTCCTTTGTGTTTCTGCTGCAGAATCAGTTTGTCAGTTTCTAAAGAAAAGCTGGTGGGATTATTAGGATTTCATTCCCTCTATAGATTAATTAGGGGAGACATAAGCACCTACTGGGTGCCAGACTGTTGTCACTTGGATTACATCAGTGAACAAAATGCAGATCCTCGCCTCGGTGGAGCTTACATTCAGAGAGCATTTTTGTTTGTTTGTTTATTTGTTTTCTTTCAGGGTTGCTTTGTTTAAAGTTTCTGATGAGTCCCTTAGGAAACATTCCTACAGGCAGAATTACTGAGTCAAAGAATACGAAGTTTCTTCAGGCTCTTTAAACATAGGCCCAGATTATTTCCTAACTGAGCAAGTGTTTATCTTTTGTGGCTGGCGCGATGATGCAGTCGGTCCCCGTTCTGGAAGTACTCCATCCAGCTGGAGAGACGGGATGGCCATTCATGAAACAGTCTGGGTCCAGTGTTTGCTGTGAAACCCAAATGAAACATCCAGTGTCCAAATAACAGTGCTAACAATACAAGGGATCAGGAAACAGGTCGGCATTGTCTGGAGTGATGAAAACAGGCATCCTTCGGGGGCTGGCATCTGTGGGGGGGCGGGCACGGGGCGGGGCGGGGCGGGGAAGGCAGTGGGGAGTCCCAGGCAAATGAACAAGAATGGGAGGCGGGGGGGTTTCAGCTTGGGCAACATGAGTAGGTACAAAAAGTATTTGTTTCCTGTGGAGACCAGCGAGGCTGGTGGAGGGTGTGGGGTCACACAGCAGAAGATGGATTTTGATGGGCCAGTGGAGTCCAGCTTTAGTGAGCCCTGGATGCCAGGCCTCAGAGAAAAGGAAGATGCCTGTCCTCCTTTCCAGGTGCTGGGCTGTGCTGTTGAGCTCCCTGATGTCAGCTGCAAGCAGCTTCTGGATCAGCTCATCGGCTTCTTTAATTTTTACAATGGGCCTGTTTCTCTGGCCTACAAGGTATGGTGTTGAGGAGTCTTACGTGGAACCTCCTTAGCAAAATCAATATCGGCAGAACACAGTGTTCACCCAGGGGTCTGGTACACTTGACAGAAAGACATCGTGTCAACGACAAGGTCACGGGCCCTTGGAGCCCCTCTCGGATGCCTTTCTTCCCCGGTGGCCTGAGTCCCATTCACCCAAATGTTTATGCCCGTTCCCTCCTTCCTAGGATGGCTGGGAAGAGCAGGGCCTGGTCACGCCCTCCCCCCACTCCCCGCCCCGAGGGGCCCTGGTCTTTGGGGGGCAGGTTATCAGGGGCATGAGGTGAGGCCTCGCCTGGATGGGAAGTTCAGAACAGGCCCTCCCTTCTGGCCAGTTTTTCGTGTAGGAACAATTTTGTTGGTGGTTGGAGTCCTTGCCGAAGAGTGCATCTCTTGGAATCTTGGGTGTTGACCTCCAGCTGTTCTGTTTCAGAGCTGCTCTCGGGAAGAACTGAGCAGGGAGTGGGACACCTTCATTGACCAGATCCTGAGAAACACCGGTGACCTGCATAAGATATTCAACTCCCTCTGGAACCTGGACCGAACGAAAGTAACAGGCTCAGCCCCCTGCCCATTGCATGGATAGGAATAGGGCTTCTGGACACACGTTTTCCCCCTTGAATGAGGCGTATCTCAGTGCGCATAGTTGTTAAGACCTGTACTCAGATTCCATGCAGCCCTCACGAGCCGTGTGGGCTTGGACAAGTCAGGTCACCTCCCAGAGCCTCATTCTCCTTACCCGTAAAATGGCCACAGCATAAGACTTGCCTCCCAGAGCTGTTCTGATGATGAAATGGGACAGTACGTAAATGACAGAAAGCGGATACTCAGTAAAGGGTGTTACTGTTTTGCTAATGCCCAGGAGTGTTGAACTCAGTAATCTGAAGGTCCCCTCCTCGATAGTACCATCATGTGCTGATTTAATTATTCTCGACATCCAAAAAGGCCCAGGGCTGACATTTTAAAACCAGGGTTGCCATATCTGGGACTGCGGGGCTGGGAGGTGTTCTGTCCCTGAGCTGTCGCTTTTGCCGTTGGCACAGAGTGAGAGGAGGCCACCTGCGTGGCTGGCCCGGCCGCCTGCACTGCCCCTTGCTCAGTGGCCTTGATCTTGCTGAGCATCACATCCTCACAGTCAGGTAGCCAAAGGGAGGTGCAAGGCACTGCCCCTCGAGAACCAGCGGCCCGTGCCCTGAGCATCTCGGGGGACGGGAGCCTTCCACTATGTGTGGGCTGGCTCTCGCTGCTGTCGTTGACTGTGTCCCTTTAACAGGGATGTGGCACTGGGATGTTGCTAGAAACAGGGACGGGTTTGCCGCTCCTGTTTGGAGGGCTTCTTGGAGTTGGCCCAGAGCTTTCCAGACTGGCTGGCTGGGCCTGGGCGCGTCTTGAGGGCGTGAAAGAATTAACTGCATGCTTGGCTCCTTGGCACTCGGTTCTAACCGCTGCCCAGCAGGAAGCAGAAAGAGGCTTTTGGTTATTGCTGGCCATTCTTGACGGGGCTCAGATCCTTTTCTGGTCTTTTTCGGGACTTTTTACAAGGACCGTGGACTGAGGCATATACCCCTGAGTGAAAGGCCATGAATGTTATCATTTTCTGTTACGCAACAGAGTTACGGGACCTGGTCAGACATCAAGCCAGCTGCATCACAGGGGTGCCTGGGCTTCAGGGCGGTGGTGGAGGACGGGTGGGTGGGTTCACCGACACCATGACCTGAATTTGAGAGGTAGGTTCTCCTCTCCTGCTGCCTCCTGATCTCGGCGTCGATCGTCAGGGTCTCCTTGGCCATCTGCACTGTCGCCTGTGAAGAGCCATATGCCATATCTGCTCTACCTTCCAGCTTCCAGAGAGGCCTCCTTGTCCCCAGAATTTGGCATTTGTGGTGGCAGCCGTTCTGGGTGTCAGAGGCGTGACATGGCTGTCACTGTGCGGCACACCCTCCCTCCAGGCTTGGGCTCTGAGCTGTCCATCTGCTCTCCAGAGCCCCCTTCCTGTTCCTCCTTCGCTGATGGTAAGCGTGTTGACTTCGAGGCATGCTTCTTGCCCGGCACAGGTGGAGCCCCTGCTGTTGCTGAAGGCGGCCCTCATTCTGCAGACCTGCCAGCGCTCGCCCCATGTTCTAGCCGGCTGCATCCTCTATAAGGGGCTGTGAGTAATGCCGGGTCCTGCCCCTCCAGCCCTGCCCCGCCCCTGCTGCAGAACTGACCACCCCGATCGGGGGCAGGGAGCTCTGTGTGTGGCCAGTTCCAGGTGGTCTTGTTGGGTAACTAGTGGGTAGCTTAGATTTGATATAGGGTCCCTGCCTGTCTTTGGGCAGAGCTGGGAAATTGCAAACTGTTGTGTCCAGAAAAGAGTTGGGAATATAGAAGGCAGCTTTGAAGAGATCCGTGAAATTCTCAGCTGGGCATGGAGGAGGCCCACAGCACCTTCCCCTGCTGCCCAGGGCCCTGGTGTGCTGGCCATAGCTTCAGCTCAGGCTCCTGCAGCCTCTTGGCTGGGTCCGTCTCCAGTTGGCCTCTGAGGTCTCACTGCAGCTCTTCACACAGCTGGAGGGCCTCTTAGTGGGCTCGAGCACCCAAGAGCCCTCCATGGGGGCTCTCCCAGTTGAAACTCCCACCAGCTGTGTCCCCGAGATCCTCGCCACCACAGGGTGTCAGGAATGTTTCCAATTCAGAGTCCTGAGTGTGTTTCTTCTCACGGTGTCCTTGTTCCTGTGTCTGACCCCCCAGGATCGTTAGCACCCAGCTCCCACCCTCTGTCACAGCCAAGGTCCTGCTTCATCGAGCTGCACGTCGGGACCAGGTATCGCAAAGCCCACCCCGCTGGCTGGGACGCTCCATCCGGCGAGTCTGTCTATATCGGGCAAGGCTGATCCCCAGTGCTAGATGGATGGGGGCAGCTGCTGCTGCCGTGTCCTTCTCAGGACCCCAGGTCCATCCGTGTGGTTTCCTTCGAGTGAGGTCACTGGCAAAGCTGAAAGAAAATGTTGTCTTCTGCGTGGTAGACTTGGTTGGTTTTTCTTCGATCCAAGTGCAGCTATGAGAATTTGACTTCCCTCAAGGATGGGCTTTATGTCAAAGAGATGTTGGATTTTTCAGAGAGAGAGAGACTGTAAAAGATGGCTTAGGACAACAGAAACTTTAAAAATACTTCCTTCTTATATTTACTTAACTGTTTTTATAATGAAGGAAAAGTCATATGTGCTCATGGGAAATAAAACTGCCCACAACTGGACTGCACAGAGATAATCATTGCTAGCATCTGGCATATTTCCTCTGAGTTCTTTTTTCTTTTGTTTTACTAGTTGATTCTTACTGTGCGAGGCTCTGGTTTTAAATGTGTCATCAGGCTAGCTTCTTACACTTATTAAATCAGTAGACATTTAAAACACGTGTGTGGCTCTAGCCGGCTCCTTCCCACCGTGACGCAGGGGTCGTTAGAACAGCCTTCCTGGTAAACTATTTGATAATGAGAGGCTTGAGGATGCCCCTTCGAAAGTGAAAAATCAGATATAACTTAAATGTCTACGGTAGGAGCTGGCAGACCGTGGGCTGTGGGCCAGTCGCCTACTGACAGAATTTTCTTGGCCTGCTTTTGAGCCACATCTGCAGGTTGAGCAGTTGGACAGAGACTGTATGACCGCAAAGCCGAAAATATTCACTATTTTCAGAAACGATGAATTCTCCGGCACCACTGTAAACTTCATAAAATTTTGGTCAGCCGTTGAAAATGGCCAAAGATGCTTTAATGACAGAAATTGTGCGTCACTCTTTCAAGCAGAAAAAAAAGTTTTACGTAATGTGGCCTCAGAGTATAAAAAAAATGCATAGACTTAAAGGAAAATGTGCCCAGTGTTAACAGGATTGGCTTGCGGGTGAGGGAATTATATGTGATTTTTTGGAAAAGAGTTTTTGTCTAGAGTTAGTTTATGTAAAGAAAAAAAGAAAGCCACAACACTTCTTAGGAGTGAAAGTCATTTTGGTGAGAAGAGCAGTTTTTGTTTTGTTTTGGTGGGTCCTTTTGGAACCTTTAGGTGGAGATGGCTGGAAAGCTCTTTTGAGGAGATTCCTGGGTTTCTCACCTTGACTGTAAATCAGAACAAGAGATCTGACCTCACATCTGGTTTAGGTTGAATCCTTCCCTTGTGAGGGTCACAGGCCCTTCACACTTTTGTTATAATGGGATCTGTGTGAGCTCTAGGCCAGGGCTGTGGCAGATGTGGCTTTATTCCAGGAGATGACTTCCCTGGAGGTCTGAGAGGTAACATGAGTGAATGCTTGCTGTTATTCCCAGAGAGGAGAAACTGAGAAATCAGAACGGAAAGAAGCCTGGTGTGCGGCGGGGTGGTGTGGCCGCCCCAGCCAGCACGGGCCCGGCTCTCGGCTGACCCCAGCCACGGCGGGGGGCAGGCAGCTTGGGGGAGCTTCTGTTCCATCTGCTTTGCTGTTGGCGTGCGGCTGGGACCAGCATCCTGGGCCTGGCTACATTTCACGAACAGATGGCACCGCGCGGTCCTGATGGTTAGGTCGGGGGGAGAACGCGGTGCCCAGCACCAACTTCTCTGTATGTTTATTTTCAGAGAAAACCTCTAGGAGGGGATGCCCTGCAGGAACATGGTAAGCAATCAGGTGCCTTGTGTTACATCTTGGGAATGGTCTTTAAGCTGCCTGGCCCTATCCAAGTCACGTGAAAGGCCGAGTAGTCCTATATGGTTATTCCATCAGCTCGCGAGATTAGGAAAATATATAGAGCTTCAAGGACAAAGTTACCCATCAAAATCCCAGTTGTAAAGCTCGTGATTTTAGGCACACCTCTTAAATGCCCGTTTTCAGATCCTCCTTAACTCCCCATTATGAGACTACTCAGACGAGTTCCAGAGGGTCACGATTAGGAAAGGGTGCCATCGGCGGCCACTGCCAGGAAGACCTTTTGCAGCGGTGCAGGTGCCCCCAAGAGGGGGATTTGTTTTATTTTGCATCGTAAGTCAGGGCAGACCCGTTTGGTCAGGTGGAAGTGCTTTTCTCCAGCTTGTCTTTTAAGTGCCACTAAACTTCCTTCCACCAAACGTCACCCTGGGTGCAGAGCTGCCCACACGGGCTCTTCCCTGCCTGCCGATGGCTGAAGTTGTAGCTGCAGTTTTGTGGCTTTTGTTCTGGCTTGAGGAACGTAGCCCAGAGCTGCTCTCTGAGCTGGCCTGTGGGTTGGACGCGTCACTCCAAGAACAGTCCCTGCCCCTCTGTCTTCTCTGGCCCAGGGGAGGGCCCTGGCCACACCGCTTTGCAATTCTAGGAGCAGCACTCCCTCCAAACGTCCAGATTGTGCCTGTTTTCCTGACCGAAGAGGAAGCCGTCAGTCTCCGTGAGTTCCCCCGGGAGCCCATGACCAGGTAAGGGAGCTCACAGGGGTTCCTCTTAACCCATGCATTGGGCACTCCCTCCCACGGATTTATCCAGGTGAGCCCCTGGCACGTGATAACTGATTCCGTCTTCTCCGTGCTCTGCCTTGGCAGGGGCATCTGGAGCTTCAGCATAGAGATCAGAGGCATCTGGCAGAGTGAGATGAGCGTAGGTTTCAAATCCGAGATCTGCTGCTTTTCAGCTGTGTGACCTTGGGCAAGTCCATTCCCTGCCTGGGCCTCAGTTTTTTCAACTGTAAAATGGACCCAGTAATGTCTACTTCACGGGTTCCTTGCAAAAGTTGGGAATAGTATGTGTGTAGCACCCAGTATAGGGCCTGACTCACAGTCGGCCTCCAAACGTGGGTGTCCCTGATTCAGTGGGCTCTGCCGTTTCCTGTAGGTGATCCCAGTGTCACTGTGTGAAGCCCCGAGGGCTAGGCGTTGCCCTAGGTTTCCTCCTGTGCTTTGAGCATGACCTCTTAGGCTCTGTGGCCTCAGCACCCACTTGTCACCAATGCCCGTGCTTTTTAGGGAAGCACTGCTTTAGTCTTCCCAGGGCAGGGCCCTTGCCCACGCTCAGTCGCCTGCCCTTCCTCATGCCTGCCTTGTTCGCCAGCACTCTGGCATCTCCAGCCAGACTCCCGGAGCCCCCAGCCCAGCGCCCTCCGAAGGGTATGAACACATCTGCCCCGAAAGAAAACGCCCCCAGACACGCGGAATCCACGGCTCGGATCTCAGTGACCACCCCTGAGCCCACGTCTCCTGACGTCACCTGGCCAAATGGCAGCGGGGAGAACGGACACTGGTCTGGCTGTGATCTGAAGAGCATCAAGACCCCAGCACCGCACCACACCGCCAGGGGCCGGGGGCCTGGGCTCGGCCTCTCCCTGGTGAAGCAAACCAGTTTGTCCAGGGGGGAAGAGGAACTGGACTTGTCTGAAATCCACGTTCCAGAAGCTCAGGACACGGGAGCATCCTTGGGTTATTCTGCCTCCGATGGCGGGCCTCCTGGCTGCAGGGCATCTGTCAGTGACTCTGGCAACCCCGGAAGCCAGCCACCTGAGGCCCTGCCTGTGGGCACAGCCGTGGGCGGCCCCCTCCCTCCCTCCACTGCTGAGATGCTCACCCAGAATGGAGCCCTAGAACAGCCCAGAGACCTTCCTGGCAACAGCAGCCAAGCCCCCGTCCCCAGGGACCACCTCCTCAGCCCGACGAGCGGGCTGTTGCCGTCGCCTTGCTTGGATTCGAGGCAGACGGGGACTGAGCTGCCCGTGGGGGAGCAAGGCGAGGGGCAGCACGGCGATGGGGTTCCTGAGGGCCGCTCAGCCTCCGCAGACAGAACCGGATCCAGGGCGACGCCCGTGTCCCGCGCGCGGCTCGTGCGGATGAACCTCTACACTCACAGCGTCAGAGGCCTGGCGCTGTTGCTGCTGGCAGAGGAGCCGCTGCTGGGAGATGGCGCGGCCGTCGAGGACGTGGTGAGTGTGCAGACCCCCTGGCCCCTGGCAGCCCGCCCCTGCCTCCTCGGAGTGGGGACAGGCAGGGGCGCTCGGCCAGCAGCTGTGTGACCTCGTGCCAGACATCCTTGTCCATACAGTGGGGTGCCGGTGGTGCCCACCTCCTCGGCTGTTTGTGGGGGGTGAGTGAGCATCCAGTGCTGAGCACAGAGCCAAGTGCAAAGGCATCCACAAGTGTTGCCCTTTCCAGCTTCTTCCATTTTCTCAGCGCCTCTGGTTCGTCATCAGCAGTGTGGGGTGCAGTGCAGCCGTGCAGGCCATGACCACACACGGCCCCACTCCCTGGCCCGGCAGCTCTAGGCTCTGTGTGGCCGGAGTCTGTGCGTGTCGCCGCCTGGACTGGGAGTTTTCCGCCAGCCCTGACTTTCCCTCCGTCTGGAGCTCCTTCTTAGAAGGCCCAGGACCTCTGAAATGCTAACTGGATCCAGAAGCCTCCTCTCAAACCCTTGCAGCCCCTTCCCCACTTCGAGTGGTAAGCTGACCTCCTCTGGGGCCTGGGCCCACGCTGGATCCAGTTGCCATAGTAACAGCCTTGCTTTAGTCGGCCGGGCAAGGGCGGCGATAAAAACAGCAGGTTGAAATTGCTGCAGGGTGAATGGTGTCCTGGGGCTTTGCCTTGTTTCTGTTCTTAAATCTGTATTATTCTAAGCCCATCGTATTAGCAGGCAGGCCCGTGGCCCTCCGTACATGAGCGGGTCCCCTGGAACGCAGTGGAGGAGGGTGGCGGGTCCTCCACACGGAGCCTGGAGGCAGAGCCTGCGCCTCTCGCACCTGCCTGGCTCCTCTCCCCTTTCCACAGGCCCCGCAGCACCCTCCCCGAGTGGCGGCTTCCTGCCACCTCCTTCCCCACGGCTCTGAGCGGCATCTCCACCTCCTCCTCCTTATAACAGCTCAGGGATCCAGGGCTGCAGTTCTGTGCATCCATCTCCCGGCCAATGCCTTGGTTTCACGGTCTGTCCTGCTTAGCGCCGAGCTTAGACACGGCATTTTGCAGGCCCAGTGTTGGCATGCAGTACAGTGGATACCACCCCTCTTTTTTTACTTTCCCCCCAAAAAGGAAAAGAAAAAATAGTGCAGGCTGCTCTGGGAGAAGAAGGTAAATTAAGATATATTCTGCATTCGCTGCATGTAAATGCTGTACATCCGCCGCTTTAGCCAAGCCTTGGAACAGCTAGCTCTGGGGGCAGGCACGGTAACTCCCATTTTGCCCTTAAGAAAACCGCCCCTTTGAGATCAAGACCTGACGCACATGGTGGGGTCCAGGATTCCTGCCTGTTTCTTGTCTCCCACCCCCAACGCTCTGTCCCCCGCGGATCTGACCCTGGCACGGCAGGTGGGAAGGTGAAGCGGTAAAGGCCCTGCCTTCTGTGGCCCTTGATACTCCGACGTGGGACTTGGTCTGTCACAGCCCATCCTTGCTGTCAGGGCAGTGACCTCCCTGGGCTCTCACGGAAAGTAGGGTTTGGTGTTGGGCAGGAAAGAGAACGCAATTTTATGGAAAAAGAAAACTAGTCTTTTCTCAGAAGAGTAGGGCGTTAACGAACTTTGATCAGCTTGCTGGTTTGTGAGTGGAGTCGGTTGATCAGACCCAAAGGCCATCTATTTTATAATCAGCAGAGAGTTTTCATTGCCTTTTTGTCCCGGTTCTGCACACAAAACAGTCGACCTGATTTCCCTCCAGACCCTCTGCTGCTGTCTAGAAAAGGCCAACCCCTGCAACATGGTAAACGACAGCGCAGAAGTGACCGTGAGCACAGCCCCCCTTTGGGAAGGACACATCACCACGGCTCCCTGGGTCGTTTCGCCATCACGTCTTTCAGTGGCTCAACTGCCACCTTTTCTGTTTGCTGAGGGTGCGGGCGGGAGCTGGGTGAAGTGGGTGATGGAGGGAGCAGGCAGGAGAGGGCGGCACTGGTTCAGAGGAGCAGAGTAGGCTCACGCCAGGGGGCAGCAGAGAGCCGCTGATAGTTTCCTGCTCAAAACCCAAGATAATCCTCTCACTGACCTTCAATTATTCATCACTACAGTAGGACACGGAGCTATGGGTACAGTAGACAAAGCCTGGGTTTAGTGTGTTAGCATAAAATACAAAAAAGCACCCCTCTCTCGTGAAACTGGTGCTTCTAAGTAAATGTGTGTTCCTGCATCGTTTCTTCTGCGTGTTTGGGGACACACTGACGTTGAACCACTTGCTTTGCTGTGGACTAGAAGGCGGAGGATCCAGGAACAGCCCCGGCTCCGTGTCTCCTAGGGCTGCTGTGAGGCTCTCTCTGTGGTAGTGTGTCTTGGGTTGGCAAACTTTAATGTAGAGGGACACATAGCAGGTGTTTTCTGCTTTGTACAACTCTTCGAATCTGCTGTTGTAGTACAAAAACAACCATAAACAATATGTAAATAAACGGCGTGGCTGTGTTCCAGTACATTGTTTATGGACACAAAAATTGAAGCTTGATATAATTTTCACATAACAATATTATTGAGTTTTTTTCCCCTAACCATACAAAAATATAAAATCCATTCTCAGCTCTCAGGCTATCTAAGAGAGTCTCGGTAGGCTGGATTTGGTCCACGGGCCATGGTTTGCTGACCCCTCGTATATATGAAAGCACTTGGCTACCAGTAGAAAATTGCCCACGTGTCATCTGGTATAGCGTCTTGTGATTTAACTGCGTTGATGGTTAAGTGATTTTATCCTGAGTACAAGTTAGGCAGAAGATTCCAGAAGTGGCTCGGTGCCTACAGAGAAAGCTCAAGGTTTGGCATGGCTCATTCTGTCCCCGTTTTCCCTTTCCCTGGGCACCCGCTGGGGATGGAGGGATGACTGTTGCAGATTCCTGAGGTCCAGAAACTTTCAGCGAGGCTGTGGTTTGACTTCGTGGTAAATCCTGTACACACACACACACACACACACACACACACACACACACACACACACACAGAGCCTCATCTGCCTCTGTTAATTGTGTTGGTGAGGCTGTTCCAGGGATCTGAGCAGGGGACAGTGTGCTTGTCCTCCTGTTCCGTTACTATGGACCCTCGACTCAGCCCGCACAGCTCGTGGTGGACGGTGCCTGGTGTCGGTCACACTCGCTGTCCAGTCACCCAGTGGCTGTTGACCGGCACCTCCTGGGAGCCAGGCTCGCTGCTGGGCCCTGGGGACGCAGAAATGAGGGTGTCACGTAAACCCTGGTGCCAAACCTAACGCCTTTAAGTACCATTTCTACGACATGGGATAGAAATGCTAATTTAAGTCCAGGACACTCCCCAAAATAACACTTGAGTTTCATGACATTCACCTCAGAACATTCTCTTTACATCTCTGGTCTTTTTATGTGAGCTTATTTTTTTACACAGCTGTTGTGAAATAAGTCAACCCACAGACAAGTCGTATTAGTCCAGGGACGAGTGCTCATGGAAGAGGTCCCACTTCTTTAATAACGACAGTTTTCATATTCTTGACTTTAAGAAAATGCCTTCGCTCCCGGCACTTCAGAGCGGACAGAATGGATAGATGCTATTTGACCTCAGCCACTCAGCAGCCCTGTAGTAGCCCTATTTCGCAGATGAAAGAAAGCGAGGCGCAGAAAAGCCAGTAACTTGCCCCGGGTCATCTAGCCGGGAAGAGGCTGAGCCAGGAGGTCCTTCACCTGGGCGCCAGCTGCTGCCCAGGGCCCGCGGCCTCCTTGTGGCTTTAGCAGCCCGGGGCAGCCCCAGGAGGCCCTGTTTCAGGCTGAGTCCATCTGGACGTGACGGACGTACTTGGCGGGGCCCGAGATGGAGTTCAGCCGTTCGAAAATGACGTTGCGGGAAAATGGTTCACGGATGAAGGACGAAGTTCATGCTATATCGTTGGGTCACAGAACTAGCATCAGTCGCTATTTATGGTCTGACTCCATCTTTAGCTTATAAACAACGAATCGTACAAAACGGGACAGTCCAGTGTTCCCAACTGCACCGGCAGGTGACATCCCCTGGGAGGTGTTTTAAAATACAGGTGTTTGGGCCTCACCTCCCGGACAGCCTTCCTCAGCTGGGTTCCTCCTCTGAGCCAGAGAGCACAGAAAACCATTTCACCCACACTTCTCAGTCCTTCGAGAACAGTGGCTGGTACCATTCTAGGTACACGGGAGGGAGGCGGCCTCGCTGCAGACAGTCAAGAAGCACGGGGTGGGGGAGGAGCGGGGCACAAACGCCAGCCCTGGTTATAGGAGATGCACCAGGGCGCCACCAGTGGCTCTGCCTGGATGGTGAGATTCTGGGCCAGTTTTCCTTGCTTTTTTTTTTTTTTTTTTTTTTTTTTTTTTTTTTTTTTTTTTTTTTTTTTTTTTTTTTTTTTTTTTTTTTTTTTTTTTTTTTCCTTTTTTTTTTCTCCCCCCCCCCCCCCCGCTCTTTTCTGATTTTTCTACAAGTTTGAAATGCATTAGGACATAAGGGCAGAAGTCAGGACTTCTCTAACAACAGGTCAAAGCACTGGTCAGAGTCCTTCTTGCTAAGTCAGGCAGCCACGCAGATATCCCTTGGGTGGCTTGCTCAGTGGCGGCCTGTCCCCTCCCTGCCCCGCAGTACCACGGCAGCCTGGCGTCCCTCAATGGGCTGGAGGTGCACCTGAACGAGACGCTGCCCCGGGACCAGGCGGCCCCCGCGGCCAGAACCTATGGCTTCGCGCACTACGACCGCGTCCAGAACGTGCTGGCGGGTAAGGGGCGGCTCCGGTGGGTGGGAGTGGGAACCGGGGCCCAGCGCACGGGGTGAGTGCCCTGCAGTCAGGATGCTGCTTTCTCACTTGGAGCCCAGCTCCCACGGGGTTTAAATTCTCTTGGCAAACACTTCTTTCCTCGTTTATCTCATTTTGGCCGTCTCCAACATTTTGAGAGAAGCACACACACGTTCAAGTGTCTGTGATGAGGTCGCCTCCCGATTCGGACCTTCGTGTGCTGAGACCGGTGTTGCCCACCATCGGGGGCGGTGTGTGCTCCGTGGCGGGGCGCAGCTGGAGGGCCCAGCACCCCGGCCTCTGTCCCGCTGCCCCTGGGCACCTGTACCCCAGGCCGGGGCCTCACCCTGTCCCAGTTTATGTTTCTGGGTTTGGGGGATGTTGCTGGAGGGGGGTGGTCTGCCACTCACGACTTCTGTGTCTGTCCTCTTCTGGAAGCCAACCTGCCACAGGTGGCCACAGCCCAGGACCGCCGCTTCCTCCAGGCCGTCAGCCTGATGCATTCCGACTTCGCCCGGCTGCCCGCGCTGTACGAAGTGACCGTCAGGTGAGCGTCCCCAGCTCACTGACAGCCCTGCGCCAGGAGCCGCCTTCCCAGGGTCCCGGCAGAGTCTCATTCATAACCAAATGAAGGACGGTCCAGGAACCAGTCAGGGCTTTCTTTGATCTGCTCCGGTGGCTGCTGTCATCTGCCCCCATGCTTCCCATGTCATGTATTTGCTGGGTCCCATCCTGGGGTTCTGACTGCTTTACACACTGGGGTACAGCAGGGAGGAGACCTCAGGCCCTCACCACCTCAGCGCTTCCATCCGTCACTGGGGAGGGAGGAGGGGCCCCGGTCTCCGCCATAAACGATGCTGAAGTGCTGTCTTCCATCTTCTAACTTAACAAGCCCCACGTGCTCAGGACCAAGTCTCCCAAGTCAAATGCTGCCCTCCCCTCGCCGGCAATATGGCCCAAAGACACTCACAGTTAATAGTTTGGTGTACGTTACTCCGGGTTTCGTTGGTTTGCGTTTTTATTTTTTGCATATAAAAGATAGACGATTAGAATGTTTGATTATTTAATGGTCTTTCTTCTAGAAAACTGGAGCATACTAATGTGCTGTTTTACAAGTTTCTTTTTTTCACCTTGTTGCGTGTCCCGAACACTGTTGTGCCAGCAGATCTAGATTATTATTATTATTGTCATTTACAATCTTTAACCAACCGAATTTCTACTTTTTCTCTCTACACGCTTCTCTTATGAAACCGGTAGCAGAAAAGAAGGCAAGTTAGAGGGTCAGAAGGGGGGTGCCTGCTCTGTGTATATCATTCAGTTAAGTCCTTGGAGTGAACTGGTCCAGCGCATTCTTTTGAACCTCATTTTATGGACGAGGAAATTGAAGCACAAACAGAATGAACGACTCGCCCCAGGGTCGCATTCTTACTCAGAGGCTGAGTCAGGATTTGAGCCCAGGTGTCTCAGCTCTAAGCACATGCCCCCGCCGCACACGTTTCCAGTTCCGGGGACAGTGTGGCTGAGAAGGAGGCGTGTGGGCTCTGGTGCTGACCAGGTTCTAATGCCTGTCACCGGCCACACAGGAATGCGGGCACTTCTGCTGCCCAGCGCCATCTCCAGCCAATATTTCTGTATATCTTTCCGTAATAAACGTGTCTCCTCTGGCTTTAGGTCACAGCTGCCCCACGCTGGCAGCCTAGATCCATCAGCCACCTTGTGGCCCTGTAGTATTTCATCTTCCTTGGAGCTGAGAGGGTTTTAGCGTTGGGACACGTAGCTCATTTGAATAATAGAAACAGAAAAAACAGGCTCCATTTCTTAACCACTCACCATGGGCTAAGCAATTTGTATATATTCCTACTCATGAACTCTCTTTATAAAATCTCAGTGAGGGAATTTACTGTTGTCATAGTAATTTTACTGATGAGAAAGCTGAGACTCAGAAAGCTGGAGCAACTTAGCCAAGGGCACACAGCCAGGAAGTCGCAGGGGTGGGATGAGCACCTAGGTCTGTGTGACTCCAGATCCGTGCTTGTTACCTGCAGGCCAAGGTGCCCCCTCTCCATGGCCGTAGTGACTGGTGCATGACTCGTCCTGCCGGGTCACTGACAGCGCCTCTGCGGGTCTCCGGGCTCTGAAGGCTCACAGGCAGCGTCGGACTGTGGTCTCCTTTCTTCCTCCAACAGGAACGCCTCCACGGCTGTGTACGCCTGCTGCAGCCCTGTCCAGGAAACCTATTTCCAGCAGCTGGCGTCGGCGGGGCGGAGCTCCGGCTTCCCGAGTCCGCAGGACAGCGCCTTCAGCCTCCCGGGCAAAGCCAAGCAGAAGCTGCTGAAGCACGGGGTGAACTTACTTTGAACCGTGGGTTCACGACCCCAGCAGATGACTCTCACGTCGAATCCCAGCAGAGGAAGCTCTGCCTTGTTAAATGGAAAAGTCCCTCTATTTTGTTTTCCTTGGAATAGTCCCTTGTTTTTAGGAATGTAATGATATTTAAGTGTTTGTTGCCCCTTCTGCAGATTGGCGTTGGAGGAGGTATAGCTCTCCGGGTCAGCAGACCTAGAGCACGTGGTAAAGAACTTGATGATGTGGGCAGCACTGCGGCCAGACTGGGCGCCTTGGCTCCTTACACCCGAGGGGCACGGGGCCAGTGAGCCCCCCGTCACACTGAGCCCCGGGCGCCTGACATTTCTTGCTGCTGTTCCACCCCAGCCTTAACTAGGACCACAAAATCCCAGGTTGGCGTTTTTTCTAGAACCTGGTTGGCCCTGTCTAGAGTATTTGTCCAGCCCAGTCTCCAGGGGGCCGGTCTGAGGTGTGAGTGCCCAGCCAGGAGGCGGATTTGTCAGCGAGCAGACCGGAGCTCCCACTTCTCAGGTTACCTTGAGGGCAGTCCTGCTGGGAGGGCAGGACGCCTCGTGCAGTGAAGCAGTCAGGGATGCCGAGACCACCTTGTTTGGATCTTCTGGAACTACATTCAAGACGAGCGGCCTGTTCTTTGGCTTACCCGCGGCGGGGGCAGATCTCAATGACGTGGAAGGGAGTTTGGGGTGCCGGGACGGAGAGCTGGGTGACGACAGGCCAGACTGGGCCCCCTGGGTGGAAGCGGGCTGTGCTGCTGGTTCCTCCCGAGTGAGTGTCCCGAACGGGAGTTTCTAAAAGGTTTTGGTGCAAAAGCAGAACTGTGCTTTTCAGCGGTGGCTGCGTGAAAGGGAACAGCATTCGTTTGTGTGTTTCTGGGCTGGAGTAGTACTGGAACATCAGTTCTGTTACGTTATAGTCTGACATTTTATGATGATATGATGCAGGTCACAGGATGAAAATATTTCGCAGACTCCTAACCAGATGTTTCCTGGAAGTACCTGAGATTCTATTCGAAAATTGTGATGTTAATAACTTCATGTCAGTGAACCATTATCTCATGTTTCTGACATGGTCTTTTTCTTGAAACAAGTTTCTAAGGGCTAAAAATAAAAATAGCCAAAAACACTAATGAGTTCTGAGTAACAGTAACATCTCTAGTGACAAAGTAAGGATGAAAGTATGTATGTATATATGTGCATATGTGTGTATTTCACGTGGTCACGTCTCTCTTTGCCTGATCCAGCCTGGCCAGGTGAGGAAGAGCACATGTTCAGAACGGTCCGTGCGAGGGTGGCGTGCTGCTCCAGGGAGCACCAGCTTCAGCGTGGCTGGACCGCACACCAGGCCCATGTCACCCTTTCTGTCGCCTCTCTGGGGTCCCTCCTGCCACTGGCTGGCCTAAGAGGTGAGCTTCCCAGATGGAGGAGGACCACACCTCAAGCTAGGACACACCTCAAGTGTCCTTCTCGGCCTGATTCTCCAAGGAAAAGTCCCTTACAAATCCCGGGGCCAAGCTCTCACGGAACATTCCCGTGACTGACTCACACAGAACACGTCCTGAGGTATTTCTGTCCTGAGGTATTTTCAAGCATCCACACTTTCCCCCTCTTGCCACTGATGCTCCAGAATTGTGAGATCTCCAAGTCCTGAGCTTGGTGAAATTCTGACCTGTTACATGTTGACACAGGGACAGAACTTGGAGCCCCTGAGCCCATTTTCATCTGCCCCCCCCGGGTACCTCAGCTAACTACCTGGGCTCAAGGACTCTTCCAAACAAGATCTGCTTCACAAGGAAATCTCCTGCCTGTCTCTGAGCCCTTTCCTGGCTGTCAGGCCATTGGCAGAGCTTAATCTCCTCTGTTTTGCTTTCAGAAACCTCTCTTCCCATCTCATTTCCCAGGGCTGCTGTTGAGCCTAAAACGTGTGTAATACAAAGTGCTTGTTCCTGAGAATCAGTGCTCGAGGCAGCCCGGTGCTTCCCTCTGAGCTGAGTCTCAGCGATCACAGGTGTGAGGTCCTGTGATCTCAGGTCCGCCCCGCAGAATGTGAGACCTGCATGCAACGGCCATTTAAAAATAAGTCCACAATTTCTTTGCTCCAAATTAGGGACCTGATTCTCCCCCTTGAGTGTGGGCTGTACTTAGTGATTCGTTTTTAATGACTAGAATGTGGCAAAAATGACAGTGTGACTTCTGAGAGTAGGTTATGAAACATCACAGCTGCCACCTCTCTCTCAGTTCACCTATTTGGGGGAGAAGCTGACATCCGGGCAGCCCTATGGAGAAGCCCTCGTGGTGAGGGTCTCCTGCCCATGGCCACGTGAGTGAGCCTTCTTGGAAGCAGGTCCCCCGGCCCGGTTGCCTTCAGAGGACCGCCGCCCCGGCCGACATGTGACTCAACCTCGTAAGAAACAGCCAGAACCATCAAGCCGAACCACTTCTGAACTCCTAGCCCTCAGGAAGTGTGGGAGGTAATAAGTGTGTGTTGTTTTAAGCCACTCTGGGGGTGATCTGTTACAGCAATAGACAGTACACTCGCAAGCCCACATCTTATCCCCCGACCAGGTTCCCTGCAGCTTTGGCCCGGGGACCCTTCAGCCTCCGTCCGTATCCAGCCACCAGCGCACCCGCCGGGCCGCACCACTAAGGAAGGAACCGAGCGCTCCCTCCCCTTTCTCCCTGCCAGTTCCAGAGTCCGATCCTTCCCACGGGGGCGAGCCCCATTCCTGCAGGACGCCCTGGTTTACGGCACACCCCCCATCACCCAGGACAACTGCCTCCCGCCAGTGAGCGGGGAACATGGGAGGAGGGAGAGAAGTGAGAGGCTCTGTGAACCTCAGGGAAGAAGGTCCCATGGTGTGATTAACAGTGGTAATCAATCAGACTCCTGCCTGGGAAAGGCTCTCTGGTACCCAGAGGGATGTTGAGCCTAATCAAACTGCCTCCCGCTGGGGGGAAACATCTAGGCTTACGGCTCTCGGCTCTCGTCACCTTGACAGTATAGCCAGTGGGGACTGGCTCTTGGTTGCAGTCACCCTCTCCTGAGCGTTGAAGCCCCATGGTGGGCCTTTCTCATGTGGCCGAGACGCTCTGCACACTCCCCCAGTTACTGCGTTCCTCACACCCATCCTGCAGGAAGTGGGGTGCGGCTGCTCCCCGCTGAGCGTGCATCCTCACACCGGACCACAGGCCCTGTGTCGTGGGCCCAGCAGCGGCCCCCAAAGATACCAACCAGGTCCTGTGAGCGTTACGGCGTGTGATCAGGGTCGTGCAGGTGTGATTAAGGATCTTGAGATGCAGGTCATCCGAGTGCCCTCACAAGTGTGCTTGTCAGAGAGGCAGAAGCAGGTGACTCACGGAACAGAAGAAGTGAGGACGGAGGCAGAGGCTGAGTGATGCGGCCACAAGATGCAGAAGGGGCAAAGGATGGACTCTACCCCAGAGAGCAGGGCTCTGTCAACACACTGACTTAGGCCCAGCGAAACCAATTCTGGACTTTGGCCTCCAGAAGCATGAGCGAACGAGTTCGGTTGTTTTAAGCCGCCAGGTTCGTAGTAGTTTGTTAGAGCAGCCATGGGAAACTAACGCGCCCACCCTGCAAACTTGATGTGTCTGTCCTTCTGGCCATTCCAAGCCTCTGTCTTTGAACAGTGCGGTGCCACGGAGGGCGGGCGGGGAGCGAGGGCTCACACCGTGAAGGCCCTTGCAAGGTGGCCGAGACACTGGGCGAAGGGGAGCCTTTAAGCAGAGCGGTGACTCAATTTGGTTCCCGTTGGAAACGTCACTGGCTCTCAGATGGGTGAGAAGCAGGGCAGGAGTGGAACCACCAGGAGGCTGCGGCTGTCCAGGTGGGAAGGGTTAGCGGCGCGGAGCAGGGAGGTGACATGACTGAGAGAGATGGGCAGGTTTGGGGACTACTTGGGAGATTGGAAGCGCCTCACTTGGGCCAGATGGAGGGATGTGCCTGCTATATGATGGGCACTGTCTCCAGACAGAGGAAGCCACGAGGGAGAGAGGGAGACCCCTAGTAATAAGGGGTCCACGGGGGTGAGCAGGGAACCGACGGCTGATGCTCTCGAACTGCGTGCAATGCTAGCATCTGTTCACCCCCTCCCGCCTTCACACACACACACACACACACACACACACACACACACACACACACCCCTTCACCGTGGATTGTCCTGGGAAAAGAGCAGCGGGAGGGTAAGTACCCTGTCCCCTCCCCCTGGGGAGGGCGGGGTGTAAGAGCCACACTCCGTCATCGTAGCTCAGGAAAAAAAGACGCTCTGGATCTTTTCTCGGTGCATTCATTGAATTTGGGAAGCTTAAGGTGAAGATTCTAAGGGCTTCAAGGCTGAAAAAGGCCACTTCCTTCCTCTCTGTTTATTCTCAATGTCTGAACTTGAAACCAGCTGCGTTTCTCTGGGGAACAAAACCCAGAGTGCCTTTTGAATCCTGTCAAGCGCCAAGAAGAGGCCATGTCACGAGAGCCTGAGTGCGCTCGGGTCCAAGCTGAGTGCTAGCCCTTCTCTGCCCTACCCTCCTACTCGGCGGGGCTGAGGGATCCCTGGGAAGGGCGCGGGGCACGGGGAGGGTGAGGCGAGCCCTCTCCCCACTCCGTCTCCCGTGTGCTCAGAGGGTGTGTCCTTGCTCTCCAACCAGCCCCAACTGGTTCCTGGGGCAGTAGGAGTGCGCGGCTTTGGTGTGAGACCAGGGTTCAGACCGCAGCTCTACCACTTAGTGCTTTGGAAACTCTCAGTATCTTCTTTAAAATGCAGAGGAAAGGCGATGTACGTAAAAGTGTGGCATGTCGTGGACCCACAGAAAGTGGGGCTCAGTGTGTGTGTCCTGAGAAGGCAAACGGCCTCCCCACGGGGGTCCCTCTGCCCGCCGTGGAGAGAGAGGCCTGAACACATGACCAGAGTTCAAAAGCCTGGGGATGCTGAGCCGTGAGCTAGGACACCTGGCTTCTGTTTCCGGCTCGCCCTCCAGCCGGCACCACAGCCTTGTGCTCACCCACTGCCCCGAGCCTACGTTTTCTCGTGTTGAGTGTGCATAAAACTGTCCCAGCACCCACCCCCGCGGGGCCACAAGTATTACAGGATAATAATGTATACAATAGAATCTTCCAGAGGGAACAGTGCTGTCTGTACTCGAGGACGAAGCACACTCACCTTGAATCCGGGGTGGCTAACGCGGCGGAAGTGGGAAACATGGGGAAGGGTAGGTGATCCGAAGTTAGGACCAACGTGTGTGCCTGGGAAGGAGGCGGAAAGTCAATCAACCTCTGTGTGTGTTGCCTCCTGCCACCCAATGCTACAGTCTGCTTGAGTATTTTCACTGCCATCTGTCAGCAGCTCTGAAATATATAGCCTTATTCTCTCCTGTTCCCTGTGTTTACATCTGGTTAGCAAGATTCAGCCGGGGACATACATGTCATGGGGAGGCGGCTGCCAGTAGGGCATGATGGTCCTTAAAAACAGCATTTTGTACTTAGCCTCTGCTTCTCATATTTACATTTTAAAAACATGCAAGAAGCACTTCCCACCCACCCACAACTTGCCATAATCTTATCTTATTCAGACCTCACCTTAAGCCTGTGAGAGGAAGCGTTAAGCACATTTTCAAGCTGAAGTTCACAGAGTGGATTTGGACATTTGGTAGCAACAGACAGAAACCACAACTCAGACTTAAGGGTTAAAAGGGAGTTTATTGGCCCATGTAACGGAAAAGTCCAGAGGTAGGGCTGGTTCCAGGCAAAGCTATATTAGGACTCAGATGATCTCCACAAGGTGAGAGACCTGCTCTCCTCTGTGGGTTTCACCCTCAGATTTTCTTTACACTGGATCCCCCACTCCCATCCCTCGAAAAGTAGCCTCTCTTTCTCAATGGTCCCAGGAGAGAACCTGGGTCATGTGCCCAGCCCTTAGTACCCAGGAGTCTGGAAGGCTCTGATTGGTCAGGTGTGGGTCATGTGCCTAGCCCTGCAGCTGGGGTTGGGTCAGGTCCTGGAAATCCAAGGACTGAGAAAGGGGAATGTTGCGGTCCTGCAAGAGGCTCGTCAGAGTAGTACTGCTGGAGCAGAGTGTTAAAACAGTGACCATCCCCTAGAGGCCAAGGTTAGGTGGCCTATCCCAGTATCGCGCAGGGGCACAGCCGAGCCTTGAACCTCCAGCTGTGGCTGATTTCAAAGGCCTTGCCAGTTTTGCTACTCGGGGCATCGACCCTCAGCTCCAGCTACACGTCAGAGTCAGCCCAGGAAATGAGTGGAAACAAATACCGAGACCTGGCCAAAGAACTGAGATGCCTCGGGGGCAGGGCGTGGGCATCAGTATTTCTCAAAAGCTCCCTGGGTGACTGCACTGTGCAGCCGAAGTCCAGAGCCAGTGGGTGAGGACTACCCTTCTCCTCCCCCACCACACGCTGCAGGGCACTGCTCAATGCGGCAAGGGTGGCTGCTGTCAGCAAAGGAGGGCTCAGAACCCAGACAATCTGGGCGACTTCGGGGGATGATGAGCAGGTGCCTGGGAGACCTGGGAGGTGACCTTGTCAAACCGAGTCACCGATCGGGCCTTGCAGCCGAGGCAGGCTGCCTCTGGGTGGAAGGCAGGGCTTCCCATTCGAAGCTGGGCAGGCACGCTGCCTCCCTTCTCTCACCTTGGGCATCCCCGGCTGCAACATGTAAATTACTTTGGCAGTTGCCTAGCTGGCAACGCGCGCTTCAGGAGAGCGAGAAATAGCGCGGCCCGGGGCGGCGTGGTGCTCTTCCCTCCCACCTGCCGTGGCGGCCTGGCCAGCTTTGCTATGAAAACACCTGGCAGCCAGGCATCTCCTGGGGCTCCCTGTCCTCCTAAGACAAGGGGAAGCATTCAAAACAGAGCAACCAAGGGCCCCGCTTCCTTCTCCCCGAGGTTAGACCCAGACGACAGAAAGAAGCCGCGGCTCCCCCGGCCGCCTCTACCACCGATCCGGTGGGTCCGTCCATCTCTCCTTCCTCCTCACCTGTTTCTCTGTAACTGCTTAGACCCGCTGCTACGTCAGGAAGGGAGCCAAGCTCGCTGCATCACGTGCCAGGCACCGTCTCTACAGCGAAGGAAACTGAGGCTCCCAGAGGCTCCGTGACTCGCGCAAGGTGACACGGGAGCAAGTTCCTGGCACCGAGTCCCGAATCCTCAGCTCTCCTGAAGCGCGGTCCTTGTTCTTTGTCCAGAGTGACACCTGCAGTTCCTGAACGTTCCACGCATCTGCTCCTTTCCCCCACTCCGCGCCCACTACTGAGAACTACAACTTGCTTCATTCCCTGTACGTGACCCCCGTGAGGGGCCCGCCTGTCTCTGTGACACGATCCAGAAACCAAGAGCCTGCAACAAGTGGCCCTCTCGGAGCCTCTGCCCAAGTCCCACGTCACCTTTCCAACAGACCGCTTCACTCTGGTTTTCAGCAAGATCTTTTATTTACCCCCTGCTCCCCAACCGCGTCACGTGAGCACAGGTAGCCAGGGACCTGTGTGGGCTGCTGGCTTTGTAAACGTAGAGCAGTCAGTACGTAGAGAAATCATGCACCTCAGTGATTCCTGAACAAGAAACTTAACAAGTAAAAAGACTTCAGGTGTGTTTGACATTTCTGCCCTGTCCTGCATTCTAATCGCTGAAAAATATCTGTGTAGAAATTGTACTCAAATGTAGACACGGTTTCTTTGCACGCTTGCCAGTAACTACCTAGTGCGTTTACTTCTGACGGTTGTTCCTCCCAGAAGCTGCTGGTTTCCGTTCGGATAGAAACACTGGACCCAGACATGGGACAAGCAGTATGTTCCGTACCGCTCCAAGGCTTTATAAACCTGACTCTGCCGTAATACGTTATTCAAAAAAGGCATCTCTAGTGTGGCTGGAGGAGACCCCTTCACACATCGGCTAACGGGGGGCTGTTTCTAGACTTAGTGCCTCAAACTGGCCACGTCCTTCACAGGAGACCCAGCGCCGTGACCGTGGGTCCTTTGGGTATGTAGGTCCCCCCAGTGTCCTCACGTGCACACACTGGCTTAGGTGGCCCTCACCGCACCCTCGTGCACTGACAGAGACACAGGGCCGACTCTGCCATGATCTCTGAGCCCAGCGTTTGAACACTTATGTACAGACAAATAAATGGAAAGTCATAGGCAACAGAACTCCAAAGCAAAACAGACACTTTGGGCGGATCTACGATTCCAGTTTTGCCAGAGAAAGGCTTTTCCAGAACGTCAGTGGATGACTGAGGTCTTATCCCACCTCGGCGCCCATCAGCCAGCCTGGTGGTCTGAACGCTCATCACCGTGGACTCCAAACAGCTCAAACGGGGAATTCTCCAGGCCCAGTTTGGCAGTAGGGCTTCTGTAGGCAGTGAGGTAATCGAATCACATGTTCAGCTGCTGACCCGAGGGCGCCCCAGCTTGGCTCTCGAAGACGCCAGCCTCAGCTCTGTCGGAAAGCAACGTCTACAGAAAAGCCTCCATTGCCACCAGCCCAACGCTCTTGCCATCAGGGACCCGACTGGGGTCAGGGTGAGGTGAGCAATGGTGAGTCTGCCCCGCCCTGACTGGGCCACCCTGCCGAGGAACCCAGCCAGGGACGACAGCTGGGGATGCGGACCGCGGGCTCCCCCCACCCGGGGGGCCGGGGCCCAGGGTGACCGTGACAGCAGCAGAAGCCACGTCCTCCAGCTCTCTGATCTGCAGTATTTTGTTTTGTTTTTGTTTTTTTCTTTTAAGATGACAGGAAGATTTACGTTATTACATCCAGACAAGTAACCATTTGGCGACCCTATTTCAGAGCACTGACGAAACCAAGTAGCAGCGTGACACAGACGACAGGGACACCGAGCCTCTGGTCACAGAGCAAAGTAATGCGCTTTTAGGCAGAAAGGAATCGCAGAAGCAAATGATTGGAAGGGAAAAAAAAATCTAAGGAAATACAAGCTGAAAATTTCCCACTTTCAATGACCGAAGGAAAGAGGGGCCCGACACGACCTAAAAGACAAATCCCAGATGAGAGCATTCTGTCGAGGCAGGTTTCTGAGCATGGAATTGGAACAGGGGCAGGGGCCGGGCCACACCCCTGTCTGCCCGGGCGGACCGCGGCCACTCTCGGCGACTGCAGCACGACCAATGTTCTCATCGTCCCGGGGCAAAGATGAAATCCAGGGCCTGCCGTTCGGCCGCTGCGACGTTGGGATGCCACAGATCCACCATGAAAACCACCCGTGGGCCGTCCTCCGCCGAACCTGGGGGAGGGCGGCGAGAGAGGAGAGGTTCAAGCCGCCCGGAGCCAGGGCCCGGGCGGAGCCAGACCCACGCGGTCGGCTCTCGGGCAGGGACCCCTGCTGACCCCGGCACAGATCGCAAGGTCTCCTCTTCTCAGACCAACACCACCATCAGGCGGGCCCGGAGGTCCTGAGCAGAGCGCGCGGGAGGAACCGGGCAGAGGGAGGGAAGGGTGAAAACGTGGTAGGTGGAACGCGGAGGATTTTTAGGGCAGGGATCCTGTCATGGTGGACACGTGACATCACACGTTTGTCCAGACCCACAGAGGGTACAAGAGCAAGAGTGAACCTTCATGTAAACTACGGACCTGAGTTACTGATGATGTGTCAAAATTGGCGCGTCCACTGTAACAAACATACCCCACTATTACAAGGTGCTAACAGAGGGCAAATTTTGGGGGGGGGGGGTCACGTCAGGGAGCACACTCTGTACTTCCTGCTCAGGTTTTCTGGAAACCAAAAACTGCTCTAGAAAGAAAGTTTAAATATACATGTAAATATATATATTTATATTTTTAAAGGCGGCCACGGGGCACACAGACGCTCACCTCCATGGAACGCGGCGTGCAGGAAAGAATCGTCGAAGAGGAGGCAGCGGCCTTCTGCCCAGCACTGGGGCTCCCCGCCCACCACCAGCTCACAGCCACTCGGAGTTTTCAGACCTGGGGGCAAAGCAGAGAAAAGAAAATGAAGGCAGGCAGGGCCAGGGATGCCGGAAGTCGGGAGAGGCAGGCTTTGGAGGGAGCTCTCGACCTCCAAAGCCCCGACCCTGCGCCTCACCCCTCGGGAGCCCCGCTTGGTGGGTGGGTGGAGGCAGTCTGTTAGGACAGATGCAGGCCGTGCACCTGCACCCTCACCGTGCTCCCTGGAGAAACTCATTCCTCTGGTGGCTTAATCCGTTCTGGGCCAGGGACTACTCTGATTAAAGCACGGACCAAGGTTTGCGCCCCATGTGTGAGGCTCCCGAAGCCCCTTCGTGGGGCCCCGGAAACCGAGGGAGGCCAGGTTCAGAACCCTGCCTGCCCAATAGGCAAAGGCTGATTCAGTCGAGATTAAAGACTCGGAGACTCACACAGTGCCCTCCTCTTTAGGGTCCAACGTTTAAATCCACTGTGAGGCCTGAGGATGGCATGTTCACGGTCCAAGTTTCCCCAGCCTCAATCTGGGAAAATGGTGACACCCCTAAAGAGACGCCTGAGCTTTCAGAGGAGACGGACTGCCACCCTCGTAGGGAGCCATATGTTCAAAATGCAGGTGGGGGACCCGAGCTCGGGTACATGACCCCGGAAAGGGGGGCATTCTTCACACGCTGCCGTGCACGCACTTTCACACCCCCATTTCCAACTCAAGGGTCTGAAGGAACGCTTGGCCCCTGGCACTACCTGGTCGTCTGTGAATGAAGGCACCAGCACAGCCACCTAACTGACTCAGAGGAGGCTGGGTAGGCCCTGACCCGGGAGGAAGTGGGCCCTGCAAGAGGGCCTGGGATCATGGCGTTCTGTCTGTCTTCAGTGACCCACCCTGACAATCACGACCCTGGGCCAGTCAGCATCCCCGCTCTGATTTAATGTCCCTACGACACACGTGAAACAGCGTACCCTCTAACAGCCTGAGGATTTAACACACCCTCTGAACCAGAAATGGATGGCTCCAGGAAGCACATATGGAGTAAGAATTCAAACAAAGAGGCCACGTGGAGTAATGGGCAGGAGAGAGGACTTCAGGTCAGATGACCACCCTTACGTGCTGGGTGACTCTGAGCAAGTCACTCAACCTCTCTGAGCTATAGCCTCCTCATCTGTAAAGAGAGGCCATGAGCACACTTGCCTTCCAGGCTGTGTGACCACTGTCCTTGCTACCAATCACTGAAGACTTACTGTGAGCAGGTTTGTGTTAAATAAACACTTTACGGACATCACTTCACACACTTTCCAGATGGAGCAGCTGAGCTTTAGAGAAGTTAAGTGACCTGCTGGAAGTCGCTCTTTAGTCCTGTGCGAAGTGAGATTTGAACCCAAATCTGTCTGGCTCCATGGAACAGGCTCTTGCAACACTGGACAGTAGGATATAAATGCTAGTTGTTACATTGGTAGCAGTGAGGCTAAGTGGCTGTCAACTTCCCTGTAGTTAATATGTTTCAACTATCAATAGTACATTTCACTGAATCAGCTGACACTGTCCATTCTGCCTCTGGAACCAGGATCTCCCACTGCTGTTAACAACTGCTGGGGGAGGTTAGGGCTGTGAAGGAGCTCTGCCTGCCGCTCACTGGCCTGGATGGAGAGAGCCCCACGCACCACATCGTTCCATGCGTGCCCTCACCGCTTGGTTCAGTGGAGAAGGCCTTTAGGGGCAGGTGGTTCTCTGCAGGGACAGAACACCCCAGGATTCCAAAAAGAAGCTCCCCTTTTTCTGGGCCACAAAATGATTCATCACCACCCCAATGGTAAACAGAAAAACGGCCCGGCTTGCCGGCTTCCCAGCCCCTGCTCACTCGTCTCCGCCTCCCTTCACTGTGCCCCAGCCTTCCAGTGGCCCACCATCCCCGCCTACTGCCATAAACCAGCCTGGCTGGCAGATATGATCAACACTCGCCCAAACAGAGCATTCGGGCGGCTCCTGGGGACAGACAGGCCCCACGCATGGCCTCGGCCAGTCCCATGTCCCCAGGTCCCCCTGGCTTAGGGCTCACTGCTTTGTCCCCTATGCCCATGGACAGAGGCGCAAGACGGGTGGAGAAAGGGCTCTGTCCACCACTTCAGGAGGCTGGCAGCTGGCACTCAGGGTGGGCAAGGCAGACAGGAGCTGACCAGCTTGTATCACCCAGCTGGACGGCCGAGAAATCCAACAATATACTCATGAAAGGGAAATGAGAGCCTAATGGGCTTTTGTAGCGAGAATCTGGATGCGCTCACACATTTTCATCTGCCCTTCCCTGAGGGTCTGCCACTGGACCGGTACCTGCCGCCTGGCTAGCAGCTGCCTGATTAGTTTCAGAGGTTGTTCCCTGGAGGTTTGTGACAGTGGGCTTGTGACAGTGCATGACGCTGGGTGACGGCTGGGCCTCACGGACGGGGTGCTGAGCGATGCCACCTCTAGCGGAAGCTCGGAGCAGGCTCGGCAAACGTGTGCCATCCGGAGGCGCTGACAGCTGAAGAGTGGTGGCTGGGGCGACGCCCCCAGCCCCCACTCAAGACGGAAGGTGGAAAGGGAGGCTGCGGGGCACTTCAAGGACACAGTTCTGGAACCGCAGGTGCCTCCCCACGTCTGCCAGGTAACTGGCGGAGGTGTGGCCGCTGTCACGTACCAGGCCCTTCCTGCCTCTGACCTCATTCTCCGGACACGCCCTATGTCAACACACGAGGTCACGTGAGTCTCACACCCCTCTCTTTCCTTCCTGGGTGGAAGGACAGAGTAGCGGAGGAAACGGAGCAAACCCAACCCTGGCGCTCACCCTTGCCATGGGGACAGCCCACGCTAGTGGGACGCCTTCCAACACCACCTGCTGTCCAGGGTGACACGGATGACCCAGTTTTTCCGGTGGCAAGTGAGTCTCTGGGCCGGGAGGGGAATGACAGGTCATAAAGAGGCCCACGTGGGCACATGTTACACACACACACACACACACAGCACACATACACAACAGGCATGAACACCCAGGAGGCAGGTCCACCAGCCCTTCCTACTCAACACACCTGCCCGGAATTCTACCACACCCAGCTCAAATGCCCTTCCCCACACGTCCTTCTGAAGCTTTTAAAAAACTTACAAGGGAAACCTTTAAAAAGAACAGCATTGCTCCCCGACGCCCACAGCCTGGCAGGGAGGCCCCCTGCGGTTTGCTCCCACAAGCTCAGCCCCACCAGCGGGCTCCCCAGCTAGCTCAGATACGGCGCCCCAGCCCCAGGGGAAGGCTCCTGCTTTGCTCCACCCCGGCGGTCCCGGCGGTCCTGCAGGGTCAGACCCCCTTCCCGGAGCAGCCCACAGGCAGCCCCTGTGTCCCCTGAGCTCAGAGTGCGCCCTGGTGCCTCACAGAGATTTTATTACAATAATCATCACTAAGACAATCATCTCACTTCTTAGATCAACCAGAGCCCCCTTTGACTGACTGCCCTCTACCTGCCAAGCACTTCACACACAGGACATACTTCTAATCTTCCAAACAGCCCTCCAGGTAGGTGTTACGCCCATTTCAGAGAGGAGAAATTGGAGGCTCAGTTTCAGAGCCTGCCCAGGGTCACCCGGCAAACGGGGCTAAGCCGGGATCTGAGTCCACGTATGTTTGCTTCCAGAGTCTGTGCATTTCCCACTGTTTCCTAGGGGCAGGGACTATGTCTTATGGGTCATTTTTCACACTGCCCAACACAGCGTTTGATCATAAAAGCTACTAGCTACCATTTATCTAATGCCGTCGCATGCCAGGAGCCGGGTCAAGTAGCCATGGCAGATATGACTTCATTGAAACCTCTCAACGTTCCTGTGAGTAAGTACGATCTCCTCATTTCACAGATGTGGAAACTGAGGCCCAGAGAGATGCGGTTATTTCCCAAAGTCTCACAGCCAGCCACGAAGCCAGGCCACTCCCTCCAGAGCCCCTACCCTGTCCTGCTTTTACTCCTGAAATACTCAAAACGATGTCAATTGCTTGAATCTAGTTCCTTTTGTTTTTTTAAAGCAGTGAAGCCCTCTGTCCAGTCCCCAAAGAGAGAGCGGGAGAAGCAGAGGGCCCGGGCCATCGGGCTCAGGTCCCCCAGGCAGCCCCGAGGCTGCCCTGTGGACCACAGTTATGAACCCCCTTCTCCAGCCTATACTGGGGCTCCTCCCTCCAACACAAAGTCGGGGCGGGCACACTGTGAACTTCCAAAGCGGGACCTTGCTCAGGCTCTCGGCAGCTCCTCTAGTCTGGGATGCTAACCAGTGGTGCCACTGCCCTGGTAACCAACATGTTATCATGACTCACTAGGAAGGAGGCGGTTCTGGAGAACTAACGTCCCCCTTCACCGGCTGGCTTTTGAGGCTGCTGTTATCAAGGGCTCACTGTCAGGCTCTGCTTGAACAAATGCTTCACGACGCGCGTTATCACACCAGGGCCTCGACATAACTCTGTAAAAGATGATCTTTTTATAATACCTCCACTTCCCAAACGAGGAAACTGAGGCCCAGAGAGGTGGACTGACTTGCCCAAAGTAACACAGCCAGCTCATGGTGAGGAGAGGACGCAAACACAGGCAATCTGACTCCAGACCCTGTTCTCAAAACCACTGCTACACACACTACGCGTATTACCGACCCCCCCTAGAAGCCGAATAAAATCAACTTCACACAAAGCGTCACTTCGTCCTTGGTGATTCGGAAGGCACTTGGGTATCTTTCAGCCTCCTGAATCACCCCAGTAGCCTCTGGCTCTAGAACTACTCTGTCCAATACAGTAGCCAACTGTCATATTTTAAAATTTGGATTCAAGTAAAAACTGAGCTCCTTAGTTGCACTGGCCACATTTCAGGCACTCAAGTTACATGCAGCTGGTGGTTCCTGCACTGGACAGCGTAGATGGAGACCATTCCCATCGCGGCAGACAGTTCCTTTGGACGGAGTTTCTGTCACAAATTAGGTTTATACTGACCACACGTTTCTTTTTTGACTCAATTCTCTGCTGCCAACACTGTTTACACGTGACCCATCAACTTTTGATCAGAGTACAGTGAAGCATGTGAAAAAGCACAATCCTGGCTACTGACTACAATTCGAGGTGTCTGGACTCCCGTCCGGCAGACAGGCTGGGATGTATTCATTAGAACAGCACGTGCCAGGAGGCCCTGTCCCCGCCACATACCTAAATGGCATCGGATGCGGATGTTGGTGGGTCCGTAGTGCTCCGTTATCACGGTGCCGGGGCTCAGCACGGAGATGCATGCGTTCCCAAAAACATTGTTCCCAATACAGGTCCGAAGGCTTCCAAGCAAGCGGTACGTCCGTGGGCACTTCCTGCAGTTCCGGGGGACGCAGACCCCCTGATTGACCAAGTAAAAGGTGACCCACTCCCCACTGGGGGTGCTGTTCATTTTCCAGCCCTGTGGGAGGCTACAGTTCGAAAAAGCTTTGTACAGGGCCTCAAACTCGCACAGGATGGTCTGGAAGTTGCGCTCCAGCAGCTCCACATCATGCTTCTGCGCGTCCCGGGCAAAGTAGGGCGAGGTGGGGAGGTCGGGCAGGAAGAAGACCTCGGGCTTCTGGATGGAGGGCCGGCTGCGGAGGTAGCGGCCCTGCTCGCGGACGCCCTTGTGGATGCGGCCCATGCCGGACCAGGAGTAGCGCCTGGCGTACTCCTGCAGGTTGTGGTACAGCTTCGGGTTGAGACCCTCACTGTGGCTGCAGCGCACGCACTCGGGGGACTGGCAGTACACGAACCCGTTCTGCAGCCCCGTGGCGTCGGGGCCCTGCATCAGGGCGTTGACCGAGACGTAGGGCCGGGGCTGCTCCCTGCCCACGTGGTAACAGTACCACACGAACAGGACCAGCAGGCAGGCCACGGTGATCGCGGCCGTGGTGTCGCAGTCCCGCACGGACTGCATGCCGGTGGCGATGCAGTCCCTCAGGCCGTCCAGCGACCAGCTCCAGGCCACCAGCCACTCGAGCGACATTCTGGGGGAGCTGTTGGGGATCCGAAGCGAGGTCAGCTGGTCAGTCCTCGGGAGTCCCGAGGGCATGCATACCATGCAGGTCAGCGTAGGGGGTGAGGGGCGGCTGGGGCAGGCGGAGGCATGGCTGCCACGGTTCCTCGGGTCCTGCCAAGGGCGGCATGGACAGACATCTGTGCCCAGTCCCCCCGGTCCCGGCAAAAGTCACTGCGGGTGGGGGCAAAGGAGCAGCTTTGGGTCACGTCGGCAAGTGGGGCTGGTCACCGTGAAATGACTTTTTTAGGCGGTCCAAACCTGAGATGAAAAAAATAATAATAAACCGGCATAAATTTTTACACCTGGAAAAGTCCTCAAGTGAAACGCAAAGCCCCAACTCGTTTTGTTAGGTCTCTGTTGGAAGGGGACACGCTTCTCAATCCTGTACCTTCTCCTTCCATTTTATCACCACCCCCTTTCCCAAAAGGCCAGTAGTGTTTAATCTGCATCAAGTATGTTTGATCATTACAGTAGTCCCATCTGTTTTGTGTCATCCTTAGGAGGTGCTGTGATCCCCATTTTATGGATGAGGAAACTTGAGGCTCAGAGAGGTCCTATAACTCACCCCAGTTCATGCAGCCGGGGCAGGGACACAGAGCCCATCTCACTTCAAAGCAATATCTATCCATTTTGCTATGCTCTTGCACAGTAGGTATGTAATAAATGCTTATTCTCCTTAAATCTCTGTACCTTTTATTAAAGAGAAATCTGGATTCAAAAGCATCTTACAAATGGTAAAGGAATTTGGAACTGCATATTCTCCATTTTACTTGCTCTTTTCACGGCACTTCATCATTCTTATTTAATCTCTCTTGCCCTTCTGACACAGGTTGGGCTTAAATCAAGCTGGAAAAGGAAGTGGGCTCCCCGGGGTCACATCTGTGGCGGACACCAGGCATTTTCTGTCTACTCGCTTGGGAGGCTATCTTCTGGCCTCACCCATGAGATTATGAAAGTGAAATGATGGATAGAATGAAAATAGAAGCCCTTTCCGGTCTGTCTCCAAAACACACAGAAGTGCTGTGCTTTGCCACGTATCCCGCCAATGGTTTGGGCCAGTGTCTAGCACGCTGAAACCTAAAAGATGATCGAAGCCCAGCTGTCTCATTGCCTGTGTCTATAAAACCCCGGCCGTGTTTCCCGGGTGAAACTCTCTGTCCATCCTGCTCTAATTGGATGAAAACAACCAGGTCTATGTTCTACTACACGTGTAGTACATTCCCTCACCTCGAGGAGCAGAATAATTCAGAAATTTCGCTTGGTACCACGCTCTCCCTTGTCTCACAGGAATGTGAGACAGGCAACTAACAAAAACAGGAAAGCTGTACCCTCCCCCTTCTCCGGGGACTAAATTTGGCCCCAACATTCTTGCAACGTAGCAGAGAGGTTAAGAACCCAAACTGGGCAGGTCACTCCCCTCTCTAAGTCTCAGTTTGCTCATCTGTTAAGACGGGATAATGCTCCTCTCATTGGATCAAGGGGAATGATGGGTTGAAAGCACTGATGATCACATCATGGTGACAGTTCAGAATGTGCTAGTGACCGCTGTGACACGTGGATTCCCATCTCTAGTAGCCAGCAAACCACAGGTGGGCCATCAGGGAAAAGTATCTCAGGTCTGAGAATTCCAACAGCCAAAGGTAAACTCTTGTTGCCACACATCGAATTTTTTTGTGACACGTGGATTCCCATCTCTAGTAGCCAGCAAACCACAGGTGGGCCATCAGGGAAAAGTATCTCAGGTCTGAGAATTCCAACAGCCAAAGGTAAACTCTTGTTGCCCCACATCTCAAGGAATTTTTTTTGTGGGGGGGGGGGGTCCCCAGACGTGCAAAGCTATTAAAATTAAAGGGAAACCTCAGATTGTCCTTAACTCCCTACTTATATCTTCCCAGCTTAGGTTGAGTAAAGAATCGCTTGACTATAATATTCAGTCAGAAACGCATATGCTGAATATTCATGGACATTTTTATGTTTCTAGGAAAAATACAAGAGCCGGGAGGTTAGAAGCTAAATTTTTCCCTCATACGTTCTCCACTTCTTCACACATTTGGGAGAAGAGGGAAAGGCTGGGCCCCCTGGATGGAAACAGACCCCCTCCCCCGCTCACCCTGGCGCCCTGGCTCTTGACTAGTCCTCCCATAACTGGCAGCTGTTTCCTCTTGAGGAAAAGGGAAGGAAAATCATGATGAAAGGTGTTCTGTTTGCAAGCCATCTCCCAAACAGAACCCCGGGATTCTTGAAGTTCAGTGTGAAACTAACATCTGTATGATAACAAGCACTTTTACTAAAAGGATTTCCCCCATCACTGAGCTGAAGCCCTAATTGGAACTTTGAAAACCCAGTCTCTCAGGAAGAGAGGTTTTTCTTAAATGTTCTAAGAGTGACATGATGATCATTTAACAAACACCTGTTAAGTTTCAGTTCCCATCAGCCCTGCTTGACGTTTAAGTCAATCAAAACGAAGACGCGGGGTACCGGGTAGATGACGAGGGAATCTCTCCATTGGACAGTCACACCACTTACCCTCTCCCCACGGAAGCCTCATTCTGTACAACGCCAGCCATGAACGCTCCCTAAGCTGAGCTATAAGCAAAACGCAGAAGATCCTCAGGCCCTGGACCCCAGCTTCAGACCCTGCTCACAAGATCACAAACAGCACTGAGAGCTCAAGTAAGGACTTTTCACATCTGCCACTTACTTTTACCCAAACTACGCTGGCAGGACCCTGAGCCCGGAGGTGGATTAACAAGCTCACAGCTGAAACGTGACACTAAATTAAACCTTTACCTTTGCAGGGTGATTGGCAGTTTATCACTGGTTCAAACATCTGACCCTCATAGATCCCCAGCCCTGCAGCTGGGAGGGCATGAATTCCACCACCACCCCCCCACTCCCACCCCCCAGCTCTTGTCTCTGTGACCACAGTAACTTCCAGCTGCCTTTACACATCTGTTCCCATTTCTTGTCCTCATCAGGGATGGGGACACCTCATTGCAGTTCTGCACTTTAATAATACACAACTCCAGATCTTCAAAGTCAGCCAGCTCTGGGGAATAGGGTCCGAATTCATGGCCACTTTTTGGTGAGCAAGTCCAATCAAATATAACTTCTGATACAATCAACACCTAGGGAGAGAGACACTCGGCTCAAACCTGGTTAATCCAGTTCACATTACCAGTCCAAGAGGCTGCCCACTGCCAGAGAGCTTCGGCTCACTCTCAGGAGTACCCTAGAAGCCCCCCAAGGAGCAGGGCAAGGAGTGTGATGCATGCACCCAGAAGCTTGAGAGCTGCCCTGGGGCCAGCCTTCTGCTGCGGGGAACCGGAGGCCTCTCCTCCTCACTTTCTCGTCCAGCGTCTTCAGTATCCACCCACTCAGGAGAGTGGGGGAAAAGGGGAGTGCGCAGAATAGGTTAATACAGACGGTGACCACCAGGAGGTCGGGGCGGGGGGCGGGGTGGGGTGGGGGGGAATGGGACGATGGAAGGGTACTGACAGGAAAAGTGGGCGATTAGGGAAGGGGGCTCATGGAACAGGGGAGGAGGGTCACCACGGGAAATAAGGGAAATGGGTGATGCACAGGGATTGGGGGGAGGGGAAGAGCAACAAGAGAAGGGACCAGGGGAGGGTGGTGACCGAGAAGGTGATGGTGATGGGGCATGTTAACACGGTGGACAGAGTCGCGAGGGAGCAAGGGGACAAGGAGGGTGATGCCCGGCCCGGGCCGCGTACACTGCCAAGGCGGCGGCGCTCAGCACGCAGCGAGCGCTGGGCGACGGGGGCCCCTCGTACGGGCCGAGATGCGGGGCGCTGAGCACCCTCCGCGGCCGCACCGCCGGGCACGGGCACCGCGGGCCTGCAGCCGCCCGGCCCCCGCCTCCTCCCCCTCTCCCAGGGTCGGTCCCGTTGCGCCGCCGTCCTGCCCCGCAGACCCCGGAGAAGCCGCTTACCTGCGCCCGAGCGCGCGGTCGGCGGGGGCGGCCGCTGGGGCCGGGGCGACGCCGCCGCCCGAGGGCGCGGACGCTCGGACGCCCCCTGCCCACGCCGCGGAGCCACCGCCCCGCTGCTGCCCGGCCCACGCCGCCGGAGCCCGAGCCAGAGCCGAGCCGGCTCCCAGCCGGTGCCGACGCCGCGCTGCGCTCCGCGGGGCCGCGGGGACCACAACTCCCACAATGCCGCGCGCGGCCGGGCTGCTCGAGGAGGGGGTGCGGGCGCGGGAGGGGCGGGGCCAGCGCCGGCGGCCTGAGGGGCGGGGCCGAGACCCCCATTGGCCCTCGGCGCTAGTCGCACGCGGGGTGACCCGGGGCCGGGATCGCGCCGCCCGCTCGCGTGGCTTTTGCGGGCGTGGCAGTGGGCCCGAGCGGGGAGACGCACTGCCAGCCCAGTCCCAGGGCGCGCGCAGGCGGGCGGGCGTTGGGTAATTCATGAAGTCCGGCGGGCGTTAATTCACCCGCTCCTGGTTCTGCCTCTGTGCCTCTGTCTGTTCTCCCTCCCTTGGTCTCTCTCTTCTTTCTCTCGTTCTCCCTCCTACATTTCCTCCTTTTCTTCTCTTTCACTTTCCCTCCCTTTTCTTCCCTCCCTCACTTCCTCTTGCCCTGACACCCTGTTTCTTTATTGATTCATTCGTCTACTTGAGGCCTCGTAGGCACTTGGAATGAAACCGCAAATCAAACAGGATCCTTAAGTTTCATGGAAGAAAAACTCATTCGCTTGATACAAATGATTATTGGGCAACCTCTCTGGGGCTGGCCCTGCGCTCTCTGGCGAGCAGTCCAGGCGTGGCCCCTGCCCGCAGGGAGTCACCGGCTAGCCAGGCGTAGGCGGTGCCCAAGTAATCACAGGTACACATCTACAGTCACCTACCAGGCAGAGTGGTTACCAAGAGAAAGGACAGGACAGGATGAGAATGTGTAACAGGGGGGCCTAATGCGGGGTTGGAGTCCCCAGGGAGGCCTCTCTGAGCAAGTGATGTTCGAACGAAGGCTTGTGGGAGACAAATAACAGGGGCCATCGGTCGTGTTGTGGGCTCCGGGGGAAATATGCATGAGTGGGTTTTGGGAACACGGAGTGGGAGGGCCAGCCCACAGTCCATCCGTTCTGTCCCAGAATCCACCTTGCCCCTTCCCAGAACCCACCTGGTCCCTGTCCCAGAACTCACCTCTTCCATGCCCCAGAATCCACTTCACCTTTGCCCAGAGCCTACCTCCAGGATGATGTCCCAGAATCCACCTTGTCTCTCTCAGAAACCACCTCTACCACCTCTATTATTGCTCAGAATCCACATCTACTGTGGCCCAGAATCTACCTTTACCATGTCTTAAAATCCACTTCATCCCTGTCATCTCCCCCCTTTTCTAAAGTCCAAAGGAGGAAGAACTTCTTTTTTTTTCTCTTTTATTCTGGATGCATACATTGGGAAACCATAAAATGCATATGGATTTGCTCCAAGTGTGGGTAATCGACACAGGCATCAGATTTAGAAACATTAAACATGTTGTATCTTTTCACTGCCAGCCTCGGAATGGTTGAGCCTGGGTAGGGTGGAGAAGATGGGAGGGTATTTGGTGCATCTCACATTCAGAAAGTTGCTCAAATTTAGACTTCTTGGTCCAAAGACACATATGTTCAGTCACTACATCACACTGACAGGGATGAAAAAGAAAAATATTCTTCACACAGTTGTGTGTGTTCCATTGCTGGACCACACCATCTGTAGTACATTATGAATTAATATTGTCTATAAATCTTGTAATTATCTTTGACCAGTGCAATTATATCGCTCTGTATTTGTTAAGAGCATTTATTTGTTCAACGGCAAAATTACCATACACACATTTTGCTAACCCTGCTTGCCATTCTTTCCTCTGGGAGACCCTGGGAGGTGAATTCCCCCCCAGAAAAGGGTATCCGGGCCTTCCATTGGGGGCTTTTGGGTGAAAGCTCACGATAAATGTCCACTGTGCTAATGGAGGAGTTGAAATAAGGGCCAAGTACTTATAAATTGCCTGGCTTCAGCTTGGCTGTTACCCGCGTCCTCCTCCTCTCCCCATTGTCTCTAGGGCAGTCATTCCCGACCCACTCTGAGGCTGCACAGCCTATCATTACGCCATCACGTACACTTGTGGGGTCCACCCAACTCCCTCCTCCTACAGATGGAGTCACTAGGGGTCCAGAGACAAAACATGCCCTGCTCAATCAAGGTCACAGCAAGTCAGTGGGGGAATGTGTAGACCCTCGACAAAATACTTGTTTGGTGGGTGAAAGAAACTGGTATAGTCACTTTATAGAGCAATTTGGTAGTATTTGCTAAAACAACAACAACAAATATGTTTCCCCTAAGAACCAATAATTTCACTACTCTATATCTACCCTAGAGAAATTCTAGGGTAGATAAAGTAATAGTAACACCTTCATGTTACATAATACTGGGCAGCTATTAAAAAGGAAGAGCTAGATGTATGTATAACAATATAAAGCTCCTGAACAAATGATAAAGAAAAAAAACAGCAGAATTCTACGTGCAGTATAATTTCATTTACATGATATGCACATATACAACACAAAACGTTACTCTGTGGTTTCTGTAGATGTACACATATGTTTATGTAAAAGCAGGAGAAAAGCACTGGAGGAATACCCTAGTATGTTCTCCTTTTTAAAACTTAAAATAATACAATGTTTGTAAATATAAAGACTATCCCTCAGATAAAGCAACTTAGAGGGACGTCAAGAAGGAATGAGAATTGGACACAGTGGACAAAAGGAATTCCAGCATTTTCTGTAATGTTTTAACTTCATTTAATATTTTCAAAAGGATTTAAATGCTCCTGGAACAAAAAGCAAAAAGGACAAATGACTTATTAGGACTACCCTTCTTCCCTATCCCTCAACCACCCAGTTCCCTTTCCTTGAGAAAATCATTATAACCAATTTCTTACCCATTTTTCCAGGAAAATGCTATGCATTTGCAAATATACAGAAGTATTTTAACTTTAAAAAAAGGAAAAGACACGGATGGTCACTCTCACCACACCTACCCAACACTGTACTGGGCCTTCTCACCAGTGCAATAAGGCAAGAAAAAGAAATAGGAGGCATTTGGAAGAGTAATTGAAAACAAAACCAAAAACCATTCATGGTAGCAACAAAACTGTAAAGAACTCAGGAATGAATTTAACTAAAATGGAAAAGATGGGGGGAAAAAATTGAAATAAAAATATTGAAGGGCACAGAATAAATTGTGAGTAATGACAATGTATGCAAAAACTCCCAAAGAGACAACATCACAAAAATGTCAGTTTCCCCAACTGACCTATAAAATTTAAATCAATTTTTATGACAATCCCAATGTGTTTCATGCAACGAGATAAATTGATCTTAAAATTTATAGAGAAAAGCAAAGGGCCAAGAAAGCTAAAGACAAAATAAAATTATCTAATAAAAATAAGCCAAGGATAAGAGCAGGCCAGTCACACAAGAGGAAACACAAATGGCCTGTAAAGAACTAGGAAGGTGCCGTGCCCATTGTTCATCATGGAAAGGCAAATTACAACCACAGTGAGATGCTGTTTTGCTTTCATCCTCTTGGCAGAAATTGCAAGGCCAGTTGACGCCGAGTATTGGTAAGGCTGTGGAGCAACAGGTGCTCTTGTACACCGCTGGTGGAGTGTAAATTTGCACCACTACTTTGGCCCTCTTTTGTGAAGTCTGAAGGTGTGCGCACCCCCCAATCCTGCCATGCTACTTTCTGGTACATGCCCCAGGGCACTGATTTTCAAACTGGGGGTTCCACTGATGGTTGTAGAATTGACAGAGTGAGTCATGACCGCGATCTGAAACAACGAAATAGACAACAGACAATCAAAAATTACGAAGAGTGTTTCCGAAAGTGTTCTAAGAGTACTGTGTGTTTGTGTGCATGGGGGTGTTGCACTGGGTCCCAGTGTAAAATGCATTTCTGATAGTGGGTGGCAGGCAGGTCAGTTTGAAAGCCTTTGCCCTAGAGAAGTTTGCAGAGTGCGACGCGTACAAGAATATACATTGCAACATTTCGTGAAAAATTGGAGGCAACAAACATTATCAAGAGGAAAATGCACGCATAAATTCATACAAAGGAATATGATATAGCAGGTAAAATGCTTGAGACAGAGCTAAATGTTTCAACATGGATAAATCTCCAAAATATAATGTTGAGCTGGAAAAGGAAACAACAGATTGGTATTATAGCATAATATTGATACTAAGTGTGAACTCATGCAAAGAATACAATATGCTGTTTAGGGAATATGTATATAATATTATATGTTACATATGTGTACATATACACATATATACATTCAGGGAAAATGCATATATTAATATATGTATTAATAGTAAAAATCTTGCATGGGGACAATTAATGCAAATTCAGGATAGTGGTTATTTCTAGGGAGGGACCATAGAGAGGGAGTAGGATTGGGGAAGGGTACATGGTGGGGGGGGCTTCAACAATATTTTAAATATTTTATTCCTTTCAAAAACCAAAGCAACAAAGCAAAATGTTAAGAATTGCAAAGGAAAGTGTTAGGTACATAAATGTTTGTCCTGTTATCCCTATGAATGTTTGAACTATTACACAATTATAAATTATAAGGAGGCAATTTTTTTTTTTTTTTTGCGGTACGCGGGCCTCTCACTGTTGTGGGCTCCTCCGTTGCGGAGCACAGGCTCCAGACACGCAGGCTCAGCGGTCATGGCTCACGGGCCCAGCCGCTCCGCGGCACGTGGGATCTTCCCGGACCGGGGCACGAACCCGTGTCCCCTGCATCGGCAGGCGGACTCTCAACCGCTGCGCCACCAGGGAAGCCCAAGGAGGCAATCTGATTAGGTAAAACGAACTTTGTTTTTAAAGGTCTGGGTTACAGCTTTCCAATATGACTTGAGCTACTTGGCCATTTTCCAGAACAGCTGCTTCAACTGTGTTCCACCTTTGAG